GCCACACTCCTGTTAGTCTTCCAGCTTACTGAGGTTGCTCCTGCCCCAGGGCCTTTGCACTCACTGTTCCCCCTCTCCTAGAACACAGCCCCCGATTGCCTCGTGGCTCGCTCTGTTGTACCATTTGGGCTCTGGTCAAACATCCCCTCCTCAAGTAGGCCTTCCCTGTCTATCTCCTCTAGAATGGCCTCCTTTCCTCTGTCACTCTGATGGCTGCTTTATTTTTTTCTGAGGCACATTATTATTATTTTTTAAAACCTGTCCCCCAGCCCTGACCATGTCAGCTCCATGAGGGCAGGGAGTTTGGCATTCTGAGTCCCCAGGGCCTTGAATGGCATGGGACACAGAAGAGGCGCTTCGTGCATGTTTGGTGAATTAATGAACAATAAATGACTGTCATCTGCGAATAATGAAAACAATTTTTTTCTTGATGATATTTTTGCCTCTCCTTTCTGTTTCATGTCTTAATGCATTGCCCAGAAATTCCCAAACACAGTTCAGTAGTAATGGTGATAGCAGGCATCCTTGTTTTGTTCTTGATTTAAATAGCAAAGTCTCTTGGGTTTTATTGTTAAATATAATTCTGGCTGTTGGTTTGAAATATTATTATTTAAAGTATGAGAGTACTATTTTTTTTTAAAGCATGTTGAATACATACATTCTTTTGCAAGATGTTTTTATTAGAAATGTTTTATCAAACACTGGGCCCATACATTAATAGATTTTTCTACTGAACCACAGTTACACTGAGACAATCCCAACATGGCTGAAGTGAATTTTCTTTTAATCTAACATTCAGTTCTGCCCATTACTATTGTATCTAGGAGTTCTGAGTCTGCAGTTATAAGGGGGAGGGAGGAGGTAGGCTGAGCCTTTTCTTTTGGCCCCCTTTCTCAAATCAGCTTCTATCACTAAAGCTGCCCTGTGGATCAGCCTCCCCTGGACCCACACTCAGGGTACAGGATGGAGTCAGATTTCCTGGGCTTAGCAACACTGAAGTGCTGAAAAGAGGGGGCAAGGGAAGAATGAACGCTCTCTTTTATATTGTTTCTTTTCCCTTTTTGCAGTTTTACACATCTCTTTGTTGTTCTTGGGTGCCATTGAGACGATTCTGACTCATAGTGACCCCATGTGACAAGGCAGAGCTGACTCAAAGAGTTTTTATCTAGGCTGTAATCTTTAAGGAAGCAGATCGCCAGGTCTTTCACCTGCAGAGCGGCTCTGCAGGTTCAAACCACCAACCTTTTGGTTAGCAGCCAAGCACTTGACCGTTGCTCCACTAAAACAAACCGAAACTCACTGCTGAATCAATTCCAACTCATAGCAACTCCATAGGCCAGAGTAGAACTGCCCTATAGGGTTTCCAAGGCTGTAATCTTTACGGAAGCAGACTGCCACATCTTTCTCCTGCAGAGCAGCTGGTAGGGTCGAACTGCCAACCTTCCGGTTAGCAGCTGAGTGCTTAACCACTGTGCAAACAGGACTCCTTAAATGTCTCTTTAGTAGAGTTCAATCAAGTCATGTAGTGGGGAAATGGGACTAGATTTATGTTTTTCTGGACTGGTTCCTCTTCCAGCTGCCCAGCTGCAGAGAGCCTTGATCTGCTCTGACCACCCAGTTCTACGGAGCTGCCCCACCACAGGCACCAGCCCTAGAAGCAAATAATAAGAGTAGAAGGGAACAATCATTTGTCAGCACCATCTCTGTCAAGGCATTATAATTCCCCAATGATGCCGGCATTTTAGAGATGACATGACTAACGCCCTGTGAGAATAAGGACTTGTAGTAAAAGGTCACTCAGCTGGTAAGTGCCCCACTTAGGATTTGAACCTGTGGCTATCTATGATGCTGGTGCTCTTTCCATACTGCCAGGCTGTCTCCTTTCACAGGGAACCCCAAATGTTGGTTCCTCAAATGTCACAATTGTCACTGTTCCCACACAGGACATGCAGAGTGATGTTGCCTGCTGCCCTGAAACCTGGCAAAGGCCCAAAGCTGCGGACAGAAAATCAGAGCCCATGAGCCAGGAGCTTAAGCATTTGGGGGCAGCATCCTCCTTGCTGGTTTCAGACATAGCCTTCCTGCCTGCAGACCAGGACAATCCTTCCTTGTGGTTCCAGGCATTCCTTGGTTTGTGTCAGCATAGCTCCAATCTCTGCCTGTCTTCACAAGGCTCTCTTCCCTGTGTGTCTGTCTCCAGTATGATTTCATGTTAGCTAATTTTATCTGCAAAGAGTCTATATCTTTTTTGGGGGACACAATTCAACCCATAACCAAAATTCAAACCTGGGCTGCACAGCTCAGCCCCAAACCACTTACCAACAGTGGTTTTGTCAGGACTTTTTTTTTCTGACCATATCCAGCTGTTAAACTCCACTAATTGCTGGCTTTATTGCTCTACTGTTTCCAACAACGCTCTGGGGTATAATTTGCTCTACAGACTACTCCAATCAAATTTGGGCTCTTTCAAAGCAATAGTTCCCTGAGGTCACTGTGTGATATTTGTTCTGATCCCAAGAGGGCTCCTCTCGACTGTTTCTCCAGTTTTTTCCTACAAACTAGCTGGCCTAGAGTTTAGCCCTACTATTGTTGTTGTTAGTTGCCATTGAGTTGATTCCAACTCCTGGCGACCCCATATATGGGGAGTAGAACTGCTCCATAAGGCTGTGAACTTTCAGAAGCATATTGCCAGGCCTGTCTTCAGAAACACCTCTGGATGAGTTTGAACAGCCAACCTTCCAGCCAGTAGTCATGCACCTAACCATTTGTGCCACCCAGAGACTCCTAGTTTACCCTGCATCTTCATTAAATTTACTAAACTCCTCTCAGTTGCCTTTCACCATAACCTCCACCATTTGGGATGGGGACAATGGCATGCTTCTTTCTGAGTGACCCCCCCCCCTTTTAAGAGCTGAGTGCTCACTGGAGAGGGCAGCAGTCTCAGGTCTTCTTGGCTTGAGAGTGGGGCCCCCGTATTCTCAGCAGGGCCACATCCAAGGTAGTCTCCATTCCATGAGTGGGGCCTGGGTGGAAGAAGAGAACTCCCACCTCCTGGCCACGCTTGCCTGGAACTTAGCCTCAGCAACTGGGCAGGATGACATGATCCTCCCAGGAAGACAGCCCTCTACTGGTAGCTGGGGGAAAATGCAGTTCTGTGTTCTTGCCTATACCAGGATGGAGAGGAGTTTCTTGCTGCACTCAGAAGGACACTCAATTGTCTTATCAAACTGTAGTAGTTTCCCTTGAATGGATATTTTTTTCATTTGTTGTATGCCCTTAGGACCATTTCCAGAGAATTTAAGTGGTTGTTTTAAAAATAAATTTCACCAGTTTCACTGGGGAGTGGGCCCATAGATGTCCATACATTGTCACGCTGGGAGTTGCTCTATTTTTTATTGTGTACTGGACATTGTAATTGATACATTAGAGACTCTGGATTCTGTTATATTCCTAGGAAGGCTGCTGAGTTTTGTCCAAGTAGGCAGTTAAATCACTGGTAGATCAACTTAATGTTATACAGGCTTGGTTTTAGGCTTTGTTAGGCCTGGTCTAGTTCCACTTTTCCTTTGGTTCTGGGAGTAGCCCTAATTCCTGAAAAGTGGTCCTTACTCTGAAACATGGCCTTTCTTGGACCATGATTTCAAAATCATGGTTTTAAACTCCAGTGTTTATCAAGCCCCTCCAGGTTGGAAATATTTGAACTTCAATCTCTGTATTCTCACTGCTGGGCAGCTGCTAAAATCTCTACTCCTATCTTCCTGCCTTCCTGTTGTTTTACTCTGGGCTTCCTGGAGTCTTATCCTGTGCACGTTCAGTTAAATGAGCCAAGGATTTGAGAAACATTTATATGCAGATTTGGTGCTCCCCTCTGGGATTTCCTCCCCAGTTTCCAGTCATTCTGTTTGCTTCCAAATAAGACCTCTTACTGCACAGCCTAGTAAGACCTTCACATTCTGCATGAACTCTACCTCCAGTGTGCTGTGTGCATGGAGTGCTTTCTGGGGGAAAAGTCATGTAAATATGACCTTACTCAGTGAGAGTCCCTTTTTATCAACATCGTATCCCTTATATTTTCTGCCTTTTGTTCACTCTCCAAGGCCTTCAAACAGTTTTATTTTAAAAATATTTTGTCCAGACTTAACATGATACTGGCAGGAGGGTGTCTGATACAGGCTACTCTCACATTACCAAAAGCCAAAGTAAATCTGTTCATTCTTTTCTGTTAACACTCAAACACGGTGGCTCAAATCCTCCTTTTGATAGTGATTTCATGTTTGAATTTAATTTGTGGGAGTATGAGGCACAGACCAAGGATTTTTTCTAAAACAGATTTATGTTTTATTCTAATGGTTTCCAGTAAGTGCTAGGCTCACTTGATTTTCTCGATCTATGGATTTCATGACTATGGTATTAAACCCATGATCTATGTGAAAACAGGCCTGTAATTACAAAGGGTGGCATCATCACTATCATCGTTATGAACTGTGTCCCCCAAAGTGTGTGTCAATTTAGCTAGGTCATGCGTTACGGACTGAGTTGTGTTCCGCCAGAAATGTGTGTCAATTTGGCTAGGCCGTAATTCCCAGTATTGTGACTGTCCACCCATTTTGCCATCTGATGCGATTTTCCCACGTTATAAATCCTCTCTCTATGTTAATGAGATGGGATTAGTGGCAGTTATGCTAATGAGGCAGGACTCAATCTACAAGATTAGGTTGTTTTAAACCAATCTGTTTTGAGAGATAAAAGAGAGAAGTGAGCACGGATACATGGGGATCTTATACCACCATGAAACATGAGCCAGGAGAATAACACACCCTCTGGACCCAGGGTCCCTGCGCTGAGAAGCTCCTAGACCAGGGGAGGATTGATGACAAGGACCTTCCTCCAGAGAAGAAGAGAAAGAAAACCTTCCCCTGGAGCTGGTACCCTGAATTCAGACTTCTAGCCTACTAGACAGAGAATAAACTTCTGTTTGTTAAGGCCATCCACTTGTGGTATTTGTTACAGCAGCACTGGATAACTAAGAAATCATTATTTACTAACTGGAAAAGGAGCAGAGTCAAGATTCCCCTTTGGTTTCTTTTATAAGGCGGCAGACTTTTCCTTACTCACCCTTTCACTTGTACGTGTAACTCCTTTGAATATCTCAACTTCATGCAGGGATTTTCAGTTCAATTTCCCAACTTTGTTCAGGCCCAAGATCTAAGCTCCCATTCTCTCAAATCTGGATATTGTATTTTTGTCCCCCGGGAGAGGAACAACTTTCAATTTAATAGCTCCTTCTGTGGTTTTTACATACAATTTTTCATTTCTTTCCTCACCCATAGGAATTTTTCCTGTTTCCTTGTGAGATCAGCTTTCCCCTTAAAGGTTTATTTGTTGCAATTTATTCAGCCTTTGGGTGTTTTGTAGAAGTAGAGGACGTTTTTAGAAAACCCTAATGTCAGAAGTGTAAATACCTTTACCATTTTCCCCCAGTGCTTTACTGAGGTATAATTTACATACTAAAATGCATAAATCACAAGTATATAACACAAAAATTTTTAAATAGGGTATATCCAAGTGTTATCATTGTCTAAATTGAGACATGGAGTATTTCCATCACCATGTAAAGTTTTCTCACACCACTTATCAGTTTACACTCAGATCTGCCTATACTAGATTTTGCCTATTCTTGATCTATAATGGGAAAATATATATTTTTATCTATATAAGTAATATATAGAGAATACAGTATATACTCTTTTGTGTCTAGTTTTCCTTGTTCAACAATGTTTTTTAGATTTATTCCTATTGTTTTATCAGCAATTTGTTCTTTTCTCTAATTGCAGGGTAGTATTCCATGATAGTACAAATGGTTAATGTGCTTGGTTGCTAACTGAAAGGCTGGAGATTGGAGTCCACTCAGAGGTTCTTCAGAAAAAAAGCCTGGTGATCTACCTCTGAAAAACTAGCCATTGAAAACCATATGAAGCACCATTCTACTCCAACACAAATGGGGTTGCCATGAATTGCAATCAACTTGATGGCAACTATTTATTCCATTCTATAAATATATGATTATTTGACTATTCATTAACTTCTTGATTGATATTTGTGTAGTTACCTGTTTTGGGGTATTATAAGTAAAGCTGCTGTGAATATTCTTGTACAAATATTACTGTGAACATACACACTCTTTTCTCTAGAAGTGGAATTGCCAAGTCAAAGGCACGTTTACCTTTATAAAAAACTGGTACAGTGTTTCCCGACGTGATTATACCATCTTACACTTCCACCAGGTTGCTCCCATATACACCATACAGTGATAGTTCCTTGTGATATCATTGTATTTCCTGATGACTGATGTTGAATCCCTTTTCCTATGCCAATTGGGCATTTGAGTATTTGTGAAGTGCGTATTCAAGTCTTTCGCTCTTTTTCATACTGGGCTGCTTTTGCAATGGTTTTTAAGAGTTATATATATTGCAAATATTTTCTCCCAGTCTGTGGCTTGCCTTTTCACTTTCTTAACAGTCATGTTTTTGATGAGAAATATTTAATTTTGATGAATATTATCAGTTTATTCTACGGTTAATGTCTTTTTATGTGAACTCTAGTATCACATTCTCCTAATCACTATAGCGTTAGAGCAATTCTTGAAATTGGGTAGTGTAAGTTCTCCAACTTTATTTTCCTTTTTCAAGATTATCCTGACTATTCTAGGTCTGCTGCATTTCCATATACATTTGTTAATCTATATGACTGGTAGGGTTTTGATTTTGTTGAATTTATAGATCAATTTGTGGAAAACTGCCATTTTGTAATTATGCACTCTTTTAAGCCACAAGCATAGTACATCCCTCCATTTTATTACAATGTTCTTTCTCTCAGCAATGTTTTGTAGTTTTCAGGATAGAGGTCTTGTACATCTTTTGTTAACTTTCTTCCTAGATATTAGACTTCTTTGATGCTATTGCAAACAGAGGGAGCCCTGGTGGTGCAGTGGTTAACTGTTCAGCTGCTAATTAAAAGGTCAGCAGTTCGAATCCACCAGCTGCTCCTTGGAAATCCTATGGGGCAGTTCTACTCTGTCCTACAGGGTCACTTGAGTTGGAATCGACTCGATGGCAATGGGTATAGTATTGTATTTAAAATTTTAATTTTTAATTGCTGTTAGTGTATAGACACAACTGAGTTTTGTACATTTACCACATATCCTACGGCGTTATTAGTTTTAGTAGATTTACTGACACTTACAGAATTTATCAGGCAAACACTTGTTGGTAATCTTCAAGCAATGGGAGAATGGGAGAAGTGTCATATGACTGGAAACATCTAATTTTCCAAACAGTAAAAAGTGACTCACTGTTTATATACCACTTTCCATAGTTATCATCTCAGAAACAATACCTTCTGAACTTCTTTCTCCTCTGAAGAACAGGTGGCTCTGGAATTAACTTTGCTCTGCAGATACTTCATAGAAGACGATCACTTTAACTCCAAGGAAAGTACCAAATCCTTACGGAGAGGAATCTTTGTTTTTCAGCTGCATGTAGAACAGAAATGAGGACATGGCATACTTGGTGCCCTTCATTTGCAGAGGGGTGAACAAAGTACCACTTTCTAAGAATGTCAATTGGAACAGAAACACAGTCATATTAAGATGGGTTGAGATAGGAGTGGGGTGAAAAAAATGCTGTAAATTCCAAGTTCTAAGGGCTACTAAAGAAGAAAAGGCTTGGTTAGCTTTGTGAGATTCAAATTATCCTTAATTGCCAGATTTATGAATTCTTCACTGGTTAAATAATAATCGATAATCCCATGTTTTCATTCTTTGCTTTCTTTCTCATTTGTTCTTTTCTTCCCGATTTGATTTATGATAGAGTAATCAGCATACTGCCTGATTTACAAAAAGTTATTATGAGCAGGGAGCCATTTTAACTTCAAGTAAAACCAATGTAAGGCACAACTATTCAGGAATATCTTATATTTTCAAAGTACTTAGGAACTCTTTAATTAGAAAAATAAAGGCAATGGGATTATGTATCAGATTCTAAAAAGTACCCAAGAATTAAACCACACCCATCCCCCGCTTAAAAAACAAAACCTCAAATCACCTTGCTGTTAAGCTGTCTTACAGTAAGGAATAAGTCCAAGCTACACTAGAGTACAAAACTTGAAATTCTGAGCATGAAAATAATTTATTGATTAGACATATGGTTTATTCAAGCATTAGGCCTACTGAAGATAGAACTAACATAGCTCATGGAGTAGGAAAAAAAATTCCATCTAGCACCTGCTTCATTTCAAATTTCCTGGGGACAAAGTTTATACACTTATCACAGCCCCACCCTAAAGCATCAATGTGTGCTTGATATTAAAAATTAACCTGACTAGGATATAAGGAACTTCATGTACACTCAACTTGGTAGGTATCATTAATGATGTGACTTTCAGAAACATTCTTAGGCACAAGAAATAGCACTGCCTGTAGTGAAAGCCTTTGATAATCAAAGAAAAGAATACCATTAAATACAATCTTACAAACAGGAAGGAATAACATACGCCCTGTAGCCAATGGACTGTTTTAAGTATCAGGAAAAATGTCACACTGAGGTTTTCTTTCTATAAGATTAAAAGATTAACTTTCAATTGATATTCAGGTTATTTTGTGGTATTAAAGAATCAAGAAAAAGAAAAGTGATTTAACCTAAATTGAATTTAGGGAAGAAATGCAGGACTAGAAATATGGAATAATAGCTGCACTTCTTTGGCTAACATTATAAAAAAGCCAATTAAACATTTTCAATAAAATTTTATTAAAAAAAAAAAAGCAGATCAACACTACAATTCAAGAATCTAATCTAAATATGTACTTGACAATGAAGTACATCTGAGTATGCAGTGAAAAAGGTTTTCCAAAAAAACCATCAAATATATCATCTCCAAATACCCAAATAATCACTTCTGCAGGCCTTTTGTTGAGTAGAATGATAAACAAAGAACTGAAGATTTATTGCTGTGAAAACAAATTTGTAGTACAGCAGTATGACTCTTGGGTATTAAGCATAATCTGATATGCTAGTTAAGAAGCTGAAAGTGTAATGAATGTGTGTGTATGTGTGTGTGTAGAAGTTGACAAGCCAGTTGACCCAAGAGCAACTGATACCTAACCTGTTCAGTTGAGACCAGACATTTTTAGAGGCAATTAAAAATTACAATTCCAACAGCCCACCAACCAAATAAAGTTAAAAAACCGTAGAAAGAAATTAAATCTATGTTCAAAGAGCCTTTTTTTTTCCAGCTCAATTTCAGCACCCCAAGGAAAAAAAAAGCATCCATGACTATCACAGATGAAAACAAAATGAATGTCATTGGAATCAGTATTTTTCCCCACTGAGGTATAAAATCTATATAGAAATTTGATACTATACTATAACAAATTGTACTTCTTATAGTTCTGATTTAATTTTCTTTAAACCCTGTTTAATATAGTTTTTTTAATTATTATTGTTGTAAAAATGTTGTTTTCATGATACTGAATCTGGTTCCAGTTCTTTTTCATTTATTTTTATATCAATATTTCATATACTGGCTCTACCAGTTCTAATCAGGAAAAAAAAAAATCTTGGAAATCTGTTCACAATGACAGCACATTCAGTAGAAATTACTGATGTGCAAGCAAACCGTCAATGGTACAGCTCTCCAGGAAGCACATCTTGTTTATTGTCTGAATATTCCTTACAATGATTCTTCATGAAAGACTCTTTCAATCTTGTAAACATCAGTGTGCACAGTCTCACCAGTACGTAGTTTCATGTCCTTGGACAGGAAGGCTGGTTCACAGCTAGTGAAAAGCTAGAGGAGTCTAAGTTTTAATGGCTGATAAACCTTACATCCTGCAGAGCAGGAAAGCACTTTTCCTTTTTTGCTACTTAAGAATGTGGCAGAAATGTATGCTGAGGTAGCCCAGTCAATCCATATATTTTTTTTTTCTTCTTTTTTTGTAAATTTGGTCTCAGAATATTTCTGGGAGGGTGACATTTCGCAGAAGCCACTGCTGTGACCGGCTTCCGTTGCAGTCTCTAATGCTGGGCACCTGGCTGTCCTCTTCCGTGGCTTTATCCAAGCACTGGTTACTGTTCACATGCTGCAGGGTTAATTTCTGAAAGTGACAGAAAGAAAATCTTAACATGAAAATGGAAGGGGGGAAAAAACTCTCTACCATCATTTCTGGTGACTATTAAATTCTTCCTTGCAGAAAAAGTGATTTTTTAAAATACAATTGAGAAAATGGTGTATATTTAAAGGCAGCATTAAGAGCTGTGGCAGGGAGAAAGGCACTGGGGTATAGTGGAAAAACACTGGATTTGGAATAAGATGACCTAAATGCTAAGTCTCACTTGTGCCATAAGCTCTGCAATACTGCAAAATTTCATTTTTTTGTGGTCCAGTTTCCCAAAAAATGATCAGAGAAGTGGTTCCTAATCTAGGATTCTCAACCTATTTTCAAAAAGCTATTTCAAAAACATTGCATTTCCCTGTGATGAGGCTGTTCAAGTAAATTCTGTGATTCTAAACCTCAAGTCCTTAGAAACTAAGGTCCTTTTGAAGACTCAAAATCATAAGAAATGTTGGGACTGCTATGATTTAGTAATCAACCTTAAGTCTATGTTCATATCAAATCTAGAGGGTCCCTTGTGATTGAGGGAGGTGATACAGTGTAGAAGGAAGAGCACAGGATTTGAGAGTCAGACAGACTGGGTTCAGAGCCGGGTTAACTTGTGCTTTCTCATTTTTAATATGAGGATAACATTACGCATTTTCAGCAGATTTGGTAATAAACAGAGATAACGAATATAAAATACCTAGCATACTGCCTCAAACAAAACAGGGCCTTAGTAAACGGCTGATGGATATAGCTATGTATCTTCCTATTTATTTACATTCTAGATTGGATGCTGTCATGCTGAATTTGAGGATAATTTCAAAAGGGCAGGGTAGGTGGGAGCTAACGGGTACATGGTTATAATGACTCACACTGATGATTCTGATATACTGTGCCACGGTCATGTTAAGGACTCCATAACAGCTGTGCAGGAATTTGCACTAAGATGATCCTAAGTGTTAAACAATGATGATGAAAGGTAGTATGTGTTTATTAACACACATTTATCCGATTGTTTCACTCATGGCTCTATTTTAATGTAATTTTTTAACCTGGAACATTTTCATTTTCAAGCTGTTGTCACTTTGACCCCATACAGGTAGTTCTTAAAAGAGCATAATGCTCAAGGCAGACATTTTTTACTAGATAAGCTAAACGATCATTTGGTTTTAAGACTTCAGGGGATATTTCTGGGTTAAGGTTTAAAGATGATCTCTGGGCAATAGTGTCAGAGGTTCATCTGGCCCCCATGGCTCCAAAAAGTCTGCAGTCCATGAGAATTTGAAATTCTGTCAAACTCTGTTTCTGGGAGAACCCAGACTGTGACACTAAAGTGTCATCTCGGGGGAAAAAATATGACTCGGTCTGTAGTCGAACTAATGACTTGGCAAAGCAATTTAGAAGTTCTAAAACTTTACACTCATGACTAGGCCTTTCCAAATACCCCAATCCATCTCTAGTTTCTTACATTCTTCATCAAACATTAATTTTGGAATACATGTTGTGGTAGACCCTGTAAGATGGCTACCAAACAGTCATTCCCACTCTATCTCCTTGCTATCTCACACCATAAGGACTGGAAAACCAAATGCTTGCTTTCCCAGCCTCCCTTGGACCTGGGGGTCACTATGGGATGAAGTTCTGGCCCAGGAGACATATGCAGAGTTTGTTGAGGGGGCTCCAAGAAAAGATTCGCTTTCCTGATAAAGAGCAACACATGTGGTTGTGCAACATTTCCCCTTCCCCTTTCTTCCTGCCTTAAACTGGGATGTGATGTGAGAGGTGCAGCATCCATCCTGGTCATAAGGAAAAGCCAAGAGATGTTAGCCCTGACATCACTGTGCCATTTAATTCACACCAGAAACCACTTACTCCCAGAATTATTATGTTAAAAAAACAAAAACCCTATTGAAGCTACTATGAGTAGGTTTAGCATTGTATAATTAATACACTGTCATTTCCATTTCCAAATGAACTTAAATGTGAGAGCTTTCTAATTGTTTTTTGGTTGTCACAATGACTCTGGGGTACTACTGGTATTTACTGTCTGGAGTTAGAAACGCTGTACTTCCTGCAATGCATAGGGCAGTCGTACCCAAAATGGCAATAGCATCCACCATGGGAAACCCAGGAACAGAATGTTCAGGCTATTTCTAATGGTCATATTCACTGAACCATTACTATATTTAATATTATTTTTACTATAGTTTGTGGTCAAAGTGCTCAGTTGCTAACCAAAAGGTCGGCAGTTCAAATCCACCAGCCCCTCCCTGCAAACTCCACAGGGCAGTTCTACTCTGTCCTATAGGGTTGCTATGAGTTGGAATTGACTTGACAGTAATGGGATACTTTGACACTGTGAAGGCAGACCCAGAACCCATAAAACACGGTCTCTGCCCTATTAAATTTAACAGTTTAGTAGTGGAGAAAAGACAGGTAGATAAATAACTACAAAGAAGCACAAGCACTGCAGGAGTCAAAGAGGATTATAATGAAGTTAGGGCAGAGAGAGCTAATTTCTGGCTGGGATGCATGGAAGTGAGGTCAAAGCTGGGCCCCCAAGAACGGGTAGGATTTGTTAGGCAGAGGGAGATGTATGATCTTAAATGTGAAGTGGGAAAGTGCAGGGTATATTCAGGGGATAGAAAAGTAGACCAGGCTTTGAATACGACACGGTACAGGAAGAAAAGGCAGCTGAAGGCATCACTTTGGACAATGCTTCCATTTAAGAAGCAGAGCCAAGCAGACAAAAGGAACAGAGAATAAATTAAGAGAAGAACCTACGCAGTAGAGCTTCTAAAGCCAAGGGATAAAAGGATTTTTAAAAATCACCTGCTTAGCAATAGTAAATGCTACAGAGAAATTAAGGAAGAAAAGAGACTGGAAAGTTCCTGGCTTTGTACTCAGGAGCAGTTTCCATACAGTGTCAGGTTGAGACAAGAGCCAGGGCTGGTGAACCAAAGGCATGAGTGCCAGCCACTCACTCCCCTTGTGACAAAGCAGGGGACAAGTAAGATGGTATACAGAAAGTAAAGTAGGAACTAAAGTTTCTCCTACGATGAGGAAGAAAACTAGTTGTGGTCATAAGCAAAAGAAGAATAAACAGAGAAAGAAATATTGGTGCTGATTCCAGAATTAGAGTCAAAAGCATAAGGTAGGAGATTAGTCAGAGATGAGGAGAGGGATAGAGTTTTACAGGAGATGCTTTGATTGAACTAGTATCTTTAAAGTACCTCTATGTGAGCATGATATATAGCAGATCGACATAGACAAGCTCCAAAGGAAAGCAAAGAAGATAAACATGAGGGGTTTCATTATATATGTCACTGAAAAATTATTATAGGCCACATAATTTTATCAAGACTCACCTTTTACCTAATTGTTTAATTCAGTTATTTAAAAGGCCACTTACTTCTTCATTTCTTCCATGCTAGGCTACAGAGCTTGAGGACATACAGAAGGATCACTGGCTACCTAGTTAACAACAAAGACCCAAGGAATAAACGTACCTGTGATTTTACAAGACTAGTTTAATTACTGGGGAGAATAAAATGTGTTTATTTTACTTACATTTATTCTCCATTTATCAATCTTTACAGTGTAAGAATACTCACATTCAAACTCCTCAAGAATTCAGTCCTTTATCTATAAAAATATACAAATATACCCAAATGACACACACAACTTTTTTCCTTTGGGCAGCCGGGTAACTTACCACTGGGTCGTACTCCCAAAGTTGGTTGCCTTTTAGGTGGTGGCATTTCAGCATTGTGACTGGGCCATTGAGTTTGGAAACATCCAAACAAAGGTCATCTGTTCTAATTTCTTTGTTGGCAGTGTAAGAGAAAACCTAAAGACAAACGTGCACATATGCAAGCTCTCACAGTAAAAAGTGTTTTATATGCTCAATCATCTGGCATAGGAAAAAACAAGTACTTCAAGATACGCGATTGTTTAACCTTATTAAAGTAACGGAGAAAGAAATAAAACTTTAATAAATTTTTATTCTCTGAACAAGACGACTCAGAAAAGTTACCACTAAGTTTACACAGAGGAAAGCAAAAATGACCTGGAGTGCTATGTACATACTAAGTATACTGTTGGGGGTTGTTATCTGTTTGACTAAAAAGGGCAGAGCAAATCTCATGCTCAGCAGTGTAAACAGAGTTCTCACAAGGGGCCTTTCACAAATGTTTCATTTAAAAGTAATAAGTAGATTGAAGGTTCCCTTCACCTAACAGCTTTATTATTTTATTTTGAAAGGTAGGAAACTACTGAAACTACTTCCTGAATGGTATCATGGGCATAAAAAGAGCAGAAGAAAAAAAAAAATCTGAAAATTATCTCTTTTAAAGCTTTACTAAGATACTCACCTGATTACCCCCCATACCATGGCAGTTAAAAATTCCAACTTTTTCATTCTCCTTCCTAGCCATGTTATCCAGACACTGATTTGTTTCCACATTTCTTATCTATGGGACAATGAATAATGAAAATATCAGGAATTAGAGAAGTAGACACAGACACACACACACTAAAATCAACCACTTTTCCTGGTGCTATATAAAAAAACCTCGAATTCCCCAGGTAAGGGGTATAGGCTGGTGTAGGAGGTGGGAGAACCCCTGTCTAAATATAAATCTAAAATTCTTTGGTCTAGGTCTTACAGTTTATATAACTTCTGTGCTTCAAGGGGAACATCCTTTAAATTCTTATTTCCTTCATTTTTCCAAGCTGTACTTCAGGATTTATATTCAGTTCAATAAACTCTACTTTGCCTAATAATTTAAAGCGATTTCACAACTCTCTGAGGACACTAGTAACAACCAAGATAAGGGGCATGACTTTTGATAACGACTCTGACTTCTTAGGAAACTCAAGGTGGGAATTTTCTAGTCATAAAGCTTGGAGTCTGGCTTAACTGGAAGCCTAAGCATGCTGTGATGCAAACACCGCTCTTTTGTTAAATATTTGTCAATTAGGGAAAAGGAATTTAATTCAGTCATCAGCCTTAGGGAGAATATTTTAAGCAATGCCTTTGATATTTTGTTTCTTTGGAACCACTGCAATTTAAAAGCATGTGGTAAATTCATAAACATTTGCAAGTCCTAAATCTATTCCAATGGATGGTACTGTTAGCAGGAAAGCCACAGGGGAGATGTGCGACAGACATTTGTCATTACATAGAGACAGAAAAAAAAGTGTAACCAATTTTGAGTGATAAAGTGTTAGTAAAGTTAAAACCACAAACAGGCCATTTATTGTTTGTAACAGCAAATGTACCATCTGCATAGTATTCCAACATGTACCACTAGAAAAGGGGCTTTATGAGCAAATGTATTTGTGAACTGCTGGTTTAAACAAATTTAAATAGGTTTGTTTACTAAAGAACTTCTCAGAGCCTTTCAATGTGCTCTGACTGGGCCATTAAGACACAATCCCAGGCCACACTATCCAGGGCCAAAAGCTCCAGTTTTGGGGGCCGGGGCCCTTGTCACAGTACGATGTCCCAGAACCACCCCAGTCCCAAAAATCTTGGCAGGAGTGGGAAGTGATGGTACAGAAAGTATAAGCTATAAAAAGCAGCATTTCCCAAACATTTTTGGGTGCAAAATCCACTTCCCCTTCCTCCACCCTGTCTTTTTAATTGAGCACGTAAGGGAAATATTGGCTAGATCTGAAAAACAGTATGGGTGTTAGTGGTTAAGAGCACAGGCTCTAGGGCCAGACTGCCTGTGTTGACATCCTGTCCCTTCCATTTTGTGGCTGTGTCCTTAGTCACTTGTTTAAACCTTTATTTGTGTCTCTATTTACCTATACGTGAAGTGGGGATAATAGCACCCATCTTGCAGTGTTGATGTGAAGATAAAATGAGTTAATATACACAAGGCACTCAGATTGGTGCCTGACAGAATACATGCTCAGTAAATCTTAGGATTATTAGATCTGTCTGGAGAAATGATTGGTTGGTCCATGATACCGACAAAACCATCAATGGCCTGGATCCTTTTTTTTTTGCTGTTGTTTAGAATATTCAACTGCCAGATTAATAACTATTAGATATCACAACGGAAAACATTTATTCAGTTCTAGGTCCTACAGGAGTTATGGGAGTCAAATCTGGTTGATGCCAGATACTCTATAAGTTATGTCTCTTACTCTAGTCATACTTATTCCTTCTAATTTCCTTTTTACTCTAAAATCCTATGATTTCAGGTTTCCCTGTGCTGTTAAGGTATGACAAGAGATCCCTGAACGGCTCCATTCCAGTCTCTGGCTAAGGCAGGCTCACAAGGGCAGAGCAATGATTGGAGCATAAGATTCCTGGCTGTACTGTGACAGGTGCTTGCAAACGACCACAGGCCCCGAAATCAGAGCTTTAGAGCCTGGATAGTGTGGCCTGGTATTAAGGGCATAGCAGGCTTAAGACCAGCTGCATAGTTAATAAGGCAATAACCAGCAGGCCACATAGGGTAAAACTTGTCCCTTACATAAGAAGCCAGCTGGCAAGGGGCAGGGCACGAGGAAAATTTGCCCTGGTAATTATCCACCATGAGTTAGTTAAGTGTCTCTTTGTAATACACCTATGTTTTGGCTCAGTCAGCAATGCCTAGGTGTTGTTCAGAACTGGGTTAGTTCAAAAGAAACAACTCCTCATTCTCTATTCTAAAAGCAAGTTACAGGGGCAACTGCTCTAATTGTTTCCACAGCACATCATCTCTCCGGGGCCTTTCTTGACCGGAATGGGGCTGCAAAAAAGGGAACAGACTCTCGTTAATGAGACATGAATGAGTCATTCTCCCTCAAGTTTGAATGAGAATCATCTGAAGTCCAAGAAACTCAACATACCCTTCACGCTCTAGGAATATAGTGTAATAGGGCACAAGAAATAGTTTCTTGTGACCATCCTCCAAGCACAATTAATTGTTAGCTAATTATACGCATTAATAAGTAAATTTCAAATTTCAAGAAAATTTACTGCTGAACTCTAAAAGAAAAATAAAGGCATCACCAGAAATAAATATGCTAACCAATATTCTCTCCAACCTTCCTGCCCAAACTGAGATTTAAAAATCTCGCCCGCCCCTCAAAAAATAAGTAAGTGCTGAAAACAATTTATTATGGACGGTCTTTCAAGTTTCCTTGTCAGTTCTTTACAATTTACCTTCACACTGAAGTTCCTCAAGCTCTGATTTAGGCAGTAACACTGTAACATTAGCTTTAACAGTATATGGTCTCAACTAAAGGATCAGTTTGTTAAATACAAAGCCTACCAAAGACAGTGATAAATTAGGTTAGGGGTAGAGCATTCTTATTTCAAAATATAACATGATTAAAAGTTAAAGACATTTCAAGTTATGAAGTAGACTCTGTCAACTAACAAGAGTTTTCCCATGCTTAAAGTTATGTAATTTTAATATAAAGGTAATTTCTTGTTGGAAGTTTAACCTCTATTATTTCTGATACAGAAGGGAGAAAATAATAACTACATAGGATATATATCTATATTTTTACCTCTCCCAGAGAGAAATAATGACGTGGTATTTGAGAATCAGGATAAATATTTTCTAGGTACCAAGAGAAAGGTTTGCATTGCAGTTTGTGTCTTAGACCAAGCCTTGATGATATATCTCCATAATCCACCTTTGTAACACCTGATGAAAGAAATAATTGACCCTGAATTATTAGTGTTCTATTAGGTAACACAATTCTACTTATATGCTTCATCTATCAAGCCATGTGAATGGGAAAAGTGGAATCATTTCATATTCATGTACCATGAATCCACCTCTCAAAATATAAAACAAGGAAAAGACATTAAAATGTGCTACAATTTTTCAAAGAAAAATTAAATTTATATGAGAATGAAATACATAATATTATTTACATAGTAGTACACATAATAATACTACACACAGATATAAGTTAAATGGGCTCAGAAGACTTTAATATATATTAAGGCAATCAATCAATCAATCAATCAATCAATCAATCAATCAATCAATCAGGATCTCTTTTGCCCAAAACAATCAGGTTTAAAACAGAACAACTGCTTCTAGTCGGGTTTTTCTCACACAACTGACTGAATTGTGCATACCACCCCATGACAGTATGTTAATACAAAAATGAGGATGAAATGGTAACGAGCTCAGGCAGATTTATGGCTGATTGCACAACTGTTCCCACAAACTCTGACTAGCAGAGAAAAGTTCCCAGAGAGAAGTCCTTGAGGACCGAAATGGGGTTTGTATTGGCCTTTCAATACTTGACACTTATGAAAGCCCTGCACGATGAAGGCATCAAGGACCTGCTTATGGGGAATGCACGCGACTACTGCTAAAACAGTGGGTGGTTGTGCTGGATAACAAAGCCAAGAATACGGGAAAATTCATACAAGCTAGGGAAATGAATGAAAATTAACAGATGAAACTTAACTAGAATAACTGTAAAATGCTGTGGTTAGGTTAAAAAAAAAATACGTGAATAACACTTGGGCTCCTAGTAATTTACATAAACTGACCTGGATAATGTATTATTATTGTTAATAATATCTTACACAAGGCCTTCTGCTAAGCACTTTTTATACTGTGTGTGATTTCATTTGTTCCTTACATCAACCCTATGTGGTAGGTGTTTGGCCTCTGCTTAGAGCTTATTTTCGACCCCTCAGAATCCATTAGGATCAGGGATAAGAAAATGACAGTGTTGTGTTTCTAATACAAAATAATGCTCACCTGGGGAAATTATATAGAAGAAATTCTTGAATTCATCCATCCAAACTTCTGCAAGTCGTCTGTTATTTTTATTGATAATCTGCCCTGTGCCTCCTGGAAATGTGTAAGGTGTAGCTTTCCGAAACACGTGTCCAACATGTGAGCACGTGACGATTTCCAAAGTACCTCCACACTGCCAAATCTGGAGACAAGAGCAAAGCAGATCATGTAAGATATTCATGGCTGGGTTAAAAAACAAATGCTGACTTTTACCAGGTCTCATTGATGGAATTCCACAGAATCAAAGACATACAGTGCAGCTCCGGCTATCTGGTCACAAGCCAGTGCCTCCTCAAGACAACTCTTTTCTCTAATTTTTGGCTCCGATTACACGCAAGTGGAAGGTTAAAATACAGAAAAGACAGTTTGAATGCTAAAAATAGAAAAGACATGAGCTGAGGTCTAAAACTGTGCTTTTCTAATTGCAGACCATGACTCATAACATTATAAATTCAAATCTGATGAACAACAACCAGCACCTGTTAACAAGGGAATACTGTTTCATGAAATGTTTGTTTAAACTGTGTGTGTGTTTGTGTGTAATGCATAATGTATTTATTACTATGATTGATGGTCAAAAAACCTTTGACCAGAGAGTGACCATCCAGATTCTTATCTGCTTCCCCTTCAAACCTGTCTCACACCCTGTACATTAAACAGAACCTAGGAATGGAAACCAGTTATTCAGTAAGATAGAATATGCTTTTGTTCTTAGAACAATAAAAAAAAGGAAAAAACAAAAATAGATTAAGTATGGCTTCACATTTTTAATTTTATGAAATTATTCTTCTGCTTCTTTGAAAAGACAATTTTCTGAGAGTTAAAACGTCTCCTAACTATTTTGCCATTAGAATACATTTGGAAAAGTTCTGTTTTTGTGAAATATTCAGAATGTTTAACATTTCCCAGGATTGTAAAATCTTCGAGTTGAACAGGATCTCCAAGATTATCTAGACTCCAATCTTTTCTTTTTACAAGGGGCAAAGTAATTTCCAGGGGACGAAAGTGAGCAGGTTCAGATTACAGTGGGGTTCAGTGTGATTTCCATGATAGTAAGCTACATATCTAAAGTGGATTATTTTAAAACATATGCAATGTAATTAGAATAATATATTGATTTTAATAAACATGAACGGCAAAAAGACTATTATACAAGGTACAATAGGTTAAATTAATTTAGAGCAATTTCAGAATTCTTTTGCCTTGAAAAATATAAATCTGGTAAAGTAAGTAGGTTTTATATAAGAAAGAAAAATTTCACACTAGAAGTGCGAAGTATATTACAGAGTGTAAAATTACTATTTTTTTGGCAGTTAAATACCAAACCAGCATTTAGAAATTACGTATTATTTTTTAATGAATTACTTCCTTAAAAATAATAAAAATGAACAAAAATAACTAGGAAATCTTGCACAAGTTTCATAGCTGGATAATTACTTAAGAAAACTGAATCATTTGCTTAAATAGTTTGTAATGAATCCTTAACAGCATCATCAAACTTGTCAGTGATATTAAGATGCAAATGATCTACAAATAATTAGCTATCTCGGAAAAATAAATACCAATTTCTCTGGATATTTGATTTTTACTTAAAGGAATAATTTTTGTGTTTAAAGCTCTTATGGACTGAAGGCTCTGAAGTCCAATTAAACTCATTAAATTTAACTTTTATTTTTTAGAGATAATATGAATAATCAGAGCATATCTACATTTCAGGTTAAATAAAAGATTTCTTTTTTTCCCCAAAAAGTACTTACCCTAAAGGAAATTTCTAGGTTTTCTCCTCCCCAAATATCCATTCCAGCATCGTATGTTCCAATTTCCTGAAAGTAATCTCTGTCTATTGAGAAAAGGCCTCCTGCCATTGTTGGTGTCCTGAAATTCAATCATAATACTATACCATTAATAATAATTTAAAATCAGTTTTTATTTTTAAAAGTAGTTTTAAAACTCTTTGTACCTACAGAATAAATGCTTATTCACACATTCTTCAAAAGCTTTCACAGGCCCCCAGGGGCTGTCTGTATCTTTATACCAGTTATTTAGTCTTCAGACATGACCTACATCCCAGTGATGCCGACCACTGGACCTACTCCCTACTGGTTTCTGCCAAGGCACTTCTTTCTCTCTGCTACAGTCCCTGACCTCTTCAAGGCTCTTCCTGCCTTTAGGAACTTTCCTGGTTCTCAGGTCCTGACTGAGCTTCCACCTTGAACTTCTTTAGTTGAAACTAGTCCTCTCTAATCCTCTCCACCTGACTGTGCACCTCTTACAGAGTCCCTAACAACTATAACTGCAGTTGACTATATTAACCAAACAGACTCAGGTTAGAGTTAACATAAGGATCCTTGGGTGGCACAAAGAGTTAAGTGCTCGACTACTATCCCAAAAGTTGGCAGTTCAAACCCACCCAGAGATACCTCAAAAGACAGACCTGGCAACCTGCTTCCAAAAGGTTACAGCCTTGAAAACTCTAAGGAGCAGTTCTACTGTGCGCACACAGGGGTCACAATAAGTTGGAATCAACTTGACGGCAACTAACAAGAGTTAATATGCCAGGTTCTGAAGGGTGGCAGACATTGTAAAGAAGATTAATAAGATTAAACAGGATGAAAACAACAAGCCCTTTCTCTATAGCTTACAGGAAAGGAGGATATGAAGAACAGAATAAAAAAATCAATATGCTTCTTCTAAGGGGATGATCATCCTGATCAAGTATGGTGTGTTCTCTGCAAAAAAGGAGTCTAATTTATTAAAACATGGCCTAGGTATGACGAGGGGCTAGTAACTATTGGAATTAGACAGATAAATGATAATGAAGGAATATTTAAATAAATATCAGTCAACTTTTTTGATTTCCAAGAAGGATGAGTATAGAGGAAAAAATGCACTTCAACCAGGAGATAATAAATAAGTTCCAGGGACCAAGGATACTATGAAGGTAATACTTTAGGGTGAACTGGCCACCTCTGTAACCCTAAAATGTACTCAATTCCATGCCTATAGAGGGTGACAGCATTTGTCCTTCCAATGGAAATAGTTTCCATAAATAGGTTAGGGCTTACTTTGGTTTTAGAAAAGAAGAATGAGAAAAGGCTAATATCTTAGGAGTCACAGGAAACAGGCTAATATACAGACTTATTATTTAGTATAGGGGTTTCCTGACCTGGATTTTGGAATACCTCTAAATTTCCTAGAACTGTATGCTAAATCTTCCATTCTACACATGCACATTTTTCTCTGTTGGACAAAGTCCACAGCTTTTATCAGATTTTCAAAGAAATCCTTGATATAAGAATGTTTAGGAAGCCCTGATTTAGACAGTGGACTAAACTGTCAGCTAAAGAGAAGAAAAGTCCCTTGTGATACTAAAAAAGGACTTGGGTTGGCTAGGGGACAAAGTGCAGAGTTAGTGAAAGCTTGTGTCAACTTTGCCAGGACTGGACTTGAATTCAAGGGAAAGCAGAGGTGAGGACCCAGGATAGGAGGAAAAGGAGAAAGCTGAAGCTGGTTCTGAAGGAACTCCTAATTACTAACAGAAGCAGCAGGCAACTGGAATAAATCCTAGGATGGTTAGAAAACACAAAGGTCTCAAATTAAATGTTCTGAATAGAAGGAAGATTTTCTCTTTCTTTAAAACAAACAAACAAACAAACAAAAAACCTATAAATGACCAAATGTAGAACAAAAGAAAATCAGAAAATGAATTAACAAAAATTCCCTTTACATTTTGTGTCAAATCTAGTTATTTGCGTTTTTAAACAAGCTTTTCTAATCTTTACCATTCAGTAATTATCATCCAGATGTTATAAGCCCGAATTTAAAATTCTGCATTCTGGTGCAAGGACCCAGTTTTAGGGAATATTTTCACATATTGACACTTAAAAGTAATTAATCAAGAGGACAATTTGATTTAAGCTACATATTATCTTTAACCAAATTAAAGCACAACTCTGACTTACACATTTACAAACTGATGTTCACGTAGAAACCAAAAACATACAAATGTCATCTCATGTGTACTAGATTTATATAAATGAAAATTTATAATTTTATTAGTTGATTAGAGGGAAAGAAAATCTTTCTTTAAAATACTGATATGTGAAAGATGGCTCTTAACTATACATAAACTGCACACACTGCACATCTCTCAAAATGTATTTATCATCCTTTTCAAACGATTCCTGAATCTTTACAATCCTCTGTCAATAATACTTTAGAAAAAACATTTGACAAATTAATTACCTGACAGGAAGCGTTCGATCACCTTTCCTTCTGTCCATTTCTCTTTGGGGAACAGGATACCAGCGAAAATTCAGCTTCCAGTTGAATCCACCATAGGTCATATCAGAGCCTGCCATGTACTCAAAGGTATCATCACTGATCACATCAATGATAGGACATACTACTGTTCTCCTACAATCATAAAAGCAAATTAAAAACTCTTACTAAAGAATTGCCTGTGTGACAACTACATTAACAATATTGTAATGTTTCAAAAATAAAAAATAAATTCTACTAAAGAAAATGGTGAAAAAATTTGCTACATCCTACCAAGCTAGCATAATTACAGATTTATTGATTGCCATCCATACCTTTTTACAGTCATATTTTCACATGCTTCCCACATGTAAAAATACTTACAACAGCTCTATGGTTTTCAAAATTAGTACTTTAAGGTAATTTTCTTAATAACCAACTCTTGGGCATTGACTTTTTAATAATTTCTCACTATTAAGATACTACAGTGAACATATTTATATACATAGCATTTCACTTTTGCCTTAAGAACAAACTTCTAGGAGTGAGATTATGATTAAAGGGCAGAAACTTTTTTGTGGCACTCCTTTTTACTGCTTTCCAAAGGTGTTCTATTATATGTATACGCACATGCTTCTACCTACAGTTTCCCCACAATGCTACCAACTTTGGATGTTATTTTCTTACATTTTTGGTAATATAATAATGATAAATAATATCTCATGATTTTTTAGATTTGAACTTTCTAATTATTAGAAAGGATATGTAACCAAATATCTCAGGTTTGTACTTCTTAATACAAACTGTCTGACCATACAATTTGTAAAGTTCTCTATTGGCCCTGTGATTTTTTTTAAAATAAAATCTGAAAAAGCTAAACTGTTTACATGACCACAGCCCCTTCTAGGGAAAGCTGACCTACTACTCAGAGCCCTTACTGAAAAGGTTGTCTCTAGGCAGCTGTATTTTGTAGTATGTGATATCCTTCCACCCAACTGATTAGACTAGGAATGGCCATCTAATCAAAGGCAGTCCAATCTTAGGCTGGCCAGAGACCTGTGACCTGGAACAACAGATAAGCTAACCATGATGTCATGGCAAGGCTGAGCTCAGCTGATGTGAGCTGTAAATCAAATGCCAAGACGAGCCACATGCATGCCAAAAACTCCAAAACAGCAGCACTATGTGGCCTAAGCTAATGAGAAGATGCTTCTGGTTTCCAGAGCTGCCTCAGTTCCTGATGGTGATCTAGTTCTAGTTCCAACTCACACGGAGCCTTCCAATATATTCTTTTTCTTTTTGGCAGTTAACACAAGTGAGTTTCTGCTTCACGCAAACCAAAAGAACCTAGCAAAAATAATAACTTCACAGAGCTCTTCTGGATTTACCAAATACTTATTAATCCATGGTAAAACTGTTTTGGGGAAGAATAACCATCCTGCTAACCAAAAGGCTGGTGGTTCGAACCCATCAGCTACTCCTCAGGTTGGTTCCTTCTTTTTCTGTATTCTGTTTACAAATTCTTAGGGGAGATTTTTTTACCCTCCTCCACTCCATACCAGGAGTGAGACTGACATGTTTTCTTGCTGGTCCTTTTGTTGCGGTGGGATTTATTTTTCATTCTCACTTACACCGAGGATACAGACTTAAGAGATCCCAGCTTTATGCAGGGGTTTGCTAATAGTTTTCCGGCATTATGAAGGTCCCAGGCTTTAGTTCCTATCCTCTGTCCTTTTCATCTATCAAGGCAGAAGCCCAGTGTCTCCAGAGGTCAGCAGAAAGCCTCAAGGTTAAAGCTGGCATTGGTTTTGGGTTGCTTACTTGCTCTCACTTTGTTTTGAGATTTGCAAATTTCTTACTTTTGTGCCAACTAAATGATGCATTTAAAAAGGTATTTTGTATTTTACCCAGTATTTTAGTTTTTGCAGTTGGCAAAGTTACTCAGGATTATCCACTCCGCCATACAGCCCAAACTGGATGTCTTTGTGGCTATTATTTCAACCTACTCCCCTACGACACTTCTGTCATGACATTGCTCTCTCTCTACAGGTGTGGGCTGCTGTTTCATAAAGGTTACATGTTATCTTTATGCAAGCAAATATTCCCTAAATCAGGAATCCATTATTTACAGAAGCAATTTACAGAGATATTCTATTCCTTTGATTCTTCAAGGTAATATTCTCCTTCCTAAGGCCGTCATGTCTTCTCATTGACCCCAAACTGGTTTTTTCTATTTATTCATCTTTGAAAGGGGAGAGATGCAGGTCCAGCATTTGCTACCAAGAAAGAGAGATGCAGTGGCTTTAGCTCCCCCACACTAAAGGTGACTGCTGAAAGTTTAACCCTACGAAATCTAAACATTAATGTTGATATTAATAGCCTCTATCTTACACTATGATGACAAGCAGAAATTCAATACAGGTCTAACAGACTGAAATTAGGTTTCCCCTGATAAGCGAGAACTAAGCCAGACCCAAGCAGTAGGTAATTCTTTGAAAAATGTGATAACACGAAAGACTACAACCATACATGTGCCTTACTCCTGATGTTTTTCCTGTATTATGTAAGATTATAGTGCTTTCCCATATACAATTAAACACTTCAGGATGCAGTGCGTCTCTTTACCCTCTTCTACTTCTTGCTGTGCTACAAACAGAAAGCTAGAGTCTCAGGATGGATGTTGACAGAGATGATGGGACATGGCAAGCACCTGTCCGCCCCAGTGTTAGCTTTAGAGAGGAGGGACAAGTAACAGGTTTTATCCTAGCTTCTTGGAGTTTACTGTTTATCTGTTTTACTCTGGCTTAGTGAACAAAGCATAGAGTATACATTCCAACAACACACTTCCTTATTTATCCCCATTCACAAGACAGTTTGCAACCATTCCTTCCAGACTTTAGAATGTGGTTTTCTCTCATACTTAGTTTAGAGGGCTCTTCATGAGTATTTTAAAAGAAACTTGGGAGGAAAATATTTTTGCATTTATTAAAAAATACAGAGTTTTGTAAGTTACCATATAGCTTAGGAAAAATGCACTGAAAACAAATTTATAGAGTCCAGAAAATTACCTGTCATGTTTGATCCTGGCTAGGAGAGGCTCCAGCCACCCTACTGTGCACTCACAATGAGCATCTAAGAAGGTGATCACTTGGCCTTTAGACACAGCAGCTCCTTTTAATCTAGCTCTGATCAATCCAGAACGTTGTTCCATTCGAATTACATGCACTGGCACTTTTAATTTTTTCACATAACTCTCTAAAGGTCTTTTCAGAAAGTCTGAAAAATTAACAAAACAAACAAAAAGTAACATGAAAAAAGTGACCTGAGGCTACCCAGATGTAAAGCAATTTTGATTTGTAATATTCATCCAAAATATATTTAGAAACATTTTCAGTAAGGTTGCCTGACTCACAAACTCATTTCTCTACCAAGAAACCTTGTTTCCTGAGAGCATTTACCAGAGCTGCCTCAACCTTATTATATGGCTCAGGCTCAATCAAGAGTAGGCACATTACCACAGTTTTCTGAGTAACTGCCTGGCTCAATTCTTCTTTTTCTAACAATGCTTAATGATCAGGAACAGAAAGAAAGCAGTTCAACAGATTAAGGAACAGAATATGCAGTAGCTGTCAGAATTCAGAAAACTGTGGAATTTCTTCAGAGGTAGAAATGAACTGTTTTAGGATTACTACAGTCTTTGACTATATAGTTCTTTTATCAGAGGACAGGAAGTGAGGGCAAACTCAAAAGAGAAATACTTAGAAGACAGAGATCCTTAGCAGACAAGAAGGTCTCAGTGAAAGTTTTTAAGATGGAAGGACACTTGAAGTAGAAAAGAGAAAAGGGAAGGGAAAGGAGAGAGTGTGTGTATGGTGTATGAAATCATTAGCGACCCTGGAGAGTTCAGATAGAGGTTTGTCCCTAAAACCAAGAATGTCCCGCCTCTAAATTCCTCAACTGATTTTAAAAGGCAGAAAAGGCTCAGTTTCCTCAAAGAAAAATGAAAGGATTTTTCAGATCAAGTTACTTCATTGAATTTATGCCAGAGAAGCTTTTGGTGGTGGTATAGCCAAATGTCTTCTCAACTAGTTTCCATGCGACAGGTATGAAGATTCTCTCTCTAGGAAAGGACATACTTGAGAAGGAACTACTGGGACTCCATGACCAGCTCTGCCCCATAGGACTCTAGCGATGGCAAGGCCACAAAGAGATCAGGGTACATGCATTAAGGGGCTCTTTGGATACTAAAAGTGGGGATCCAAAGGGCTTCCTATACAGTGGGGAAAGAAAGACAAATAGCAGTGAAATGGTTTTTGCCTGTTTCAACTGCTAAGACTAGAATGACTCAATAATGAAGGAATCGGGGATATGAAAACTGTGAAAAAGAAAGGGCCAGATGTCTCACTATACCGGAATACAGATCATTTGCATTTCTGCTCATACATTTCCTAACATTTAGGCCAAAAAGAGTGTCTGAAACATATCTGGAGTAGAACTCCTACCCGATCACCTCTGTGATTTTGGGAACCAAGTCTCAGGGTAAAGAAAGAAAGAGAGAACTTGATTCTGAGTAAAAAGGTGAATGTAGTGCCCACCCCCAGGTAAAAGCACTGTTTAGCAGTACTAGCTACCTTTCTGTGCCCATTTAGCACTGCGCTAGGTAAGCTCTTTACATATTTTATCTCGTTAAATCCTCACAACAACCCTAGAGGTCACATACTCATGTTTGCTTTGGAAATGAAAATCTAAGGCTCCGAATATTGAACGAACTCGATCAAAGCGACACAACTGTTTAAGGGTGGATATAAGATTCAAACCCAGATCGGCCTGACTTCAAAGTCCATCTTCTTACCCACAGCAAGGAATTCTGTAAGACAGCTCTAGAGAGAACAGTTCCGGGCTGTGGAATCAACTGATGTGACGTGAATTTAATACTCACTTTATGTCTAGAGTTTGATAGGGTCTCATGAAGTAGGTCTGAGACATATTCTAGTACCTCAGACCAGTCAAGGTTGGGTGTGTCACAACATGTCTCCCAGTGAGTTTAAAGTGCCTCTTAAGAACAAAAACAATCTAATTTCCGGAGTCCCACATCTTTGAAATCTGTAATACGCTGTCTTGTCTATGAACAAAATGAAAAACGCATGATTCTGTGGTCTGGTAGCTCAAAAAAGTTATTTCACAAATTTGCTTGGCATCATGAAGGCTTTCAAGCAATAAAGGTATCTTCCTGCCAGCTGATCCATCACTATGAACTCAGGACACTGTAGGGGATTAGATACTAGCTGTCAGAGCCTCATTTTACAAAATGAAGCCATGGAGGTTAAGAGCCATTGTGGTTAAAAGTACTATTTCACCTAAAAATAAGGGAGAATCTTGTTTACTAAAATATCTTTAAGGCTATCAGCCTATAAATGGATCCCTAGGCATCTCTTCAAGGAGCCCTGGCGGTGCAGTGGTTAAGCTGCTTAAACAAAAGACTGGTGGTTCAAACTCACCACCTACTTTGTAGGGTAAAAATGTAGCAGTCTGCTTCCATAAAAATTACAGCCTTGGAAACCCTATGGGGCAGTTCTACCCTGTCCTACAGGTTCGCTATGAGTCGGAATTGACTCCATGGCATACAACCATAACAGGTATCTCTCCAACAGGGAGTCTGATGTTGTCTAGGAGTGTGAGTATCAGGGAATGAATGTCAGTGTGAAGGTCAGGGAAAGTTTTGCTGCTCACAGCAACATATGAGAAATACTAGCCAGAATTCTGAAGACTAATAGGAAGAACAAGGTATTTAGAGTCTAATAAACCTGAGTCTTAATCCCTATTAAAAATGAACCTCCGTTTCCTTTTGTGCAAAATTAAAAAAACAAGTCATCTCAGATTAGAAACATATATCAGTTGTAATTAAGTTTTAAAATAACCTTCTGAAAGGATGATTACATAACTTCTGACATGAACTAGAGATTCATCTAAACTCAAATCTTTCATTGCAGACTCTAACAGTTAAACTGTACCAGCAGGGATGTGCATAGCAGTTAAGAGGTGAAGCCCTGGGTTTATATAGTTTAGAAACCTCCTTTACCTTGCTAAACCTCATTTTCTTCTTCAGTAAAATAAGGATAATTATAGCATCTACTTTATATATCTTTAATAAATGGTAGCTACTGACAACTTGGGAGTCCCTGGGTGGCACAAATGGTTAAGGGCTTGGCTAGAAAGAATTCCAGCTGGCAGTCTGAATCCATCTGGAGAAGCCTTGGAAGAAAGGCCTGGCAATCTACTTCGGAAAGATCACTTCCACTGAAAACGTTATGGAGCACAGTTCTACTCTGAAACACATGGAGTGAGTAGGAACTGATTCACTGGCAATGGGTTTGGTTTTTTGGGTTTTACTGACAGCTCAGCAGGTTGACTGTGAAATCAAGTATTCTCAGCCCATGCGGAGACCATGCATGCTACACAACCTAACCAGGAGGCCTGCACTGACAGGAAGTAAATGTGGAGGATTAAGTGACTGGATTATTCTTTCATTCATTCAATAAATTCTGGACTGTTCACTATGTAACAGGCACTGTGGGCAATGAGGAGACAATGGTGAGGAAACAGCCCTGATGGCATTAGTCTAACAAGGAAAAACAGACATTAAACAGACAAGTAAAACTCTGGTGAGGGCTGTAGAAAAGTACAGAATGTTTAGAGATGTGTTCAGAGGGACACTGCCTGGTCTGGGGACAGGGTGAGGGGGGAGGTCAAGGAAGGCCTCTCTAAATATATTCTATGAAGGATGATTAGATGTTAACTAGACTGAGGAGATGCTGAAGAAGTTACCTACACAACACAGTTCTATGAAAAGAGAACAGTGCCAATACAAGTGAAGACAATCAGACAAAAAGAAGGATGCTATTTTTAACAAATTCAAAGAAGAAAAATGTGGAGGAAGGGCAAAAATATGGGGTTGGGGTGGGTAGGGAGTGGTTCCAGGTATGACTGGAGATACAGGCAGGGGCCAGGCCATGCATACTTGAGAAGGGTTTCAATCAGAGAAGTCGCACAATCAGATTTGCATGTTTCAAAGCGCACTCTGTGTGCACCTGGTGCACACATGGAAAGGGGTGAGAGTGGCTGTGGGAAGACTAGTTAAACTAGTTATTCTATTTCAGCAGTCTAGGTGAGAAATGAAGGTGCCTTGGATGTGTGTCATGAATGGGAAAAAGCCAACTTAAAAACATACAGGGTATAACCATTTAAGCGTGACACAGAAAAACGAGCCTGCTCTGGTTCCTGGTCCATATAAAAGAAAGGAATGAATGAAGGCAAAGAAAATTCTATTAGACAATTCTCAATCTAGACAGTAAGGCTGCAATTATAACCACAAAACCACAATGCCTAGTGGTTCCCATACACCAGGAATGGTGACCTGGCCACCTGCGGTTTCCCAGGCAGGAAGATAAAGGAAAATCAGACCCCTGATCAGGGACTCTGGGGTAGCACTTGGGGATCGACCCTGTTTAAGTGACTAAAAGCCTCAGGTGGAGCAGGAAAGTAGATGTCTCCTCACACCAGCTTTCTCTTACAGATTTATAGAGGTTGGGGTAATGAAGTAAGGCTCTGCATGAGGAAAAAGAGAAAATGGTATATGTGGGGTGTTCTGTCACTTGAATTTTGGGCGCATGCCCCTTTCTGATTAGGTCATTATCCTACACAAACTATTCCACACAGACCTCTTGAACATTCAATAAAATGGTAGCCAAAGCAAAAGAGGAAATGGAAAAATAATTCATTTATCAGAGGGAAAATATCTCTCCTTGAGAAATATTTACTTTAGCTAATATCAACATGTAAGTAAACCAAACACAAGTTACTTGCAGGATAGATGTTTGCATATACTGCTGCTTAAATTAATCTGAGTTAATTTTCTTAAAGAGATGTACATTTCTATTTTCAAAAGAAACTATCTCATTAAGTGTGATATTCATAATTTACAACAGCTACCATTTATTTTGACATTTAATTATATACTATTTAAATATTTTGTATGATTATAAATGTTATACTTAGATTATAAGATACCTGAACAAGGTAGATCTATATCTTATTATTTATATTCGTTTGTACCTCCTACAATCCGGCAAAGTAATAAGATCTAAATTGTTAGCATGTAAATTACTCCCAATAATTAACATATTAAATGTTTAGATTTAATCACTGTTTAATGCACATATTTTGTGGGGTTATAGGCTGGAGAAAGTAAAATACTTGACTAAATCATCTTGGCAGATGCAATGAGAGAATAGGCAAGAAAGTTGAAGATACTAGTGAAAGAAATGGAAATGATGGGTCATGAAGTTTAAGGTTGGTCAAAGAAGGAAGGAAAAGCAGTAGGGAGTTATATTCTGTGGCTATCTCCAAATTTTTCTCAAGTGGGCACAGGAATACTAGAGAGAAAACATGACACCAATGATACTTAATATATGAATTATGAAAAAAAGTCTGTTAGGGAAATGCTGGGTATCTCCAAGTTTAACACATGTCCTTACTGATGAGCCTTTTCAACACTACTTTGCAGTCTACGTTTAATTAACATATCCTTTCCCAAAAGAGTGCTTTATGAAACCATTCGGGAGATGCTACACTTCTGAAAAACTGAGATTTTGGGGAGGACTTATCATGAGATAAGAGTCATATACCACACCTTTTCATAAGTACCTTCCTAATCCTTTTATGCACTTAGCTATAGATCATTTCTGAAACTTAGAAATGGAGAAAATAGAATCCAGAGAACTAAAGCTTACCCAGCTCAGGTTCCATTTTGCTGTCAAAGATACTTCCAACTATACAAAGAACTAAATTTCTCCATTCATTGCTCTAAGTAGGACCCAGCCTCTCTCCATTAACTTGGGGAGGGCTGCAGCTTCCCAAAGAGAACATTATAACAAAATTAGGTAGGACTTTGCACTGTTCTACATAAACATTTACATTATATACCATTATTTCTCTTTAAAGCAAAATCAAGAAGTGATACAAATTAAATGTTAATTAAAGTAATATTTGAAGTTTCACAAGGGTGTAATTTTCTGCATATGTGAATGAGTCCAAATGCCATAAATAATTTTAGGATAAATTAGAAGTGTATAAAATTATTAGGTTAAAAATTATAGCAACTCTTTTTTAAACCTTTAGTCACAAAACATGTAACATTATTATTGGTATCATAATTTAAAATTTACCTCTTTCACTGGCATCATCTACCAAAACAATTTCTTCTACCATGTGTCGTGGTGAGCGATTAATGACACTATGGACAGTCCGCAGAAGTGTGCTCCAAGCCTCATTGTGGAAAACAATCACCACACTTGTTGTAGGAAGAGTATCTGGATACACCTTTGTTTTACACCTAGAGACAAAGCAAATGCTTTTATAAAAAGTGACCTTTAAGACAGCAGAATAAATAAATCTGGACAGGACTAGAAGGGGTGATAGAACAATAAAAGCAGTCTGCCCTAGTGGTGGCACTCCTGGTTACTTTTCACTTAAGTTTTGGTCAATGTTGCATGATAATAAATAGTACCTATTTAAAGTTAGACATTTAGATTAAAAATACATTAAAGATGTCAGTTGCACTCTTAAAATTAGGCATCTCTTCCTGATGAATGTTTTCTGTTGATTCATTTTAACGGAGAATGTATTCAGGCTATACTATCCATCCTGAACCGAACTGGGTTTTAAGAATTCAACTAGACATAAAGTCAGAGCCATCTGTGGTTGTAACTTCTACAAAGGAAGAGAACTAATACTTGCTGAGGACCTACTATGAACCAGGCACTTAAAAGCTTCCCAATAATTCTGTAAGGTAGGTCCAATTTACAGATGAGTAACTGGGGACATAGAGACAGAGAGTCAGTGGCAAGCTTGATGGAAGATTCCATAGCCCACGCTCTTCTGAGCACTCTTGATGCTACCATAATTAAATATCACTATGCATCTTGTGTAGTAAAGATTATGTCCAAAAATGAAGTTATCAGAATGAACAGAAACAAACCTAGATATATGCACATAAAATCAATCTATTAATTGTAGGCAACGTGGTCTCTTCTTTTTAGCCTAGATAAAACTACTAGATAACAGACTATCAGAGATCCGTAACAGGCAGTCAATAACCAGATACCACGGGATGTGTTTCAGAACATAAGCACTCCTAAGGATAGCACAGAACAACTCTCTTAAGTATCCCCATTTGTAACAGTTGCTTTAGCCTTCTCTTTCTTTTTTCCCCTCTTTTCTTCTCAAGCTTCTCAAACCATGTGCTCTCTCCAACCTCATCTGTAACCATTTGGCAATGAGAGTGGAGAAAGGGAAGAAGGGGGAAGAAAGGAGAAAAATATTAACAAAATCTCTTCTGAAGTTTCAATCTTAGTACTTATATCCTCATAACCCTAGTACCAATGCTCCACTCTAGGGCTGCTGGCTGGTAGCTGGCAGAAAAGGAAATGGGAAGGGAAAAAAGTACGGGGGCTGAAAGGAGAGTTCACTGTAGGGTTCCCATCAGCACTTGTCCCGCCTCTCTTCCAGGAGGAAAGGAGAAACAAAGAGCTCCCACGGTCCCTCTTCATTAAAATCCATTTGAGCTGTCCCCCACTTACCATTCCCATATCTCCCTTTCATAGAGTGATTTCCACCTCCTATTACCAGTAATTGCACTATAAATCCACTGAGCCAAAAGCCCCGTAGCCTTATTTCCACTTCACTAACCATTTCCCCTACCCTATGTTTCCAAATTTTCAACCCAAAATCCACTAGAAGGCCCCACACAGCCTGCCACCCTCTCTATAGCTCACTGCCTCTGAGTCTGGGCTACAAAACTGGGGCCCAAAAGACTGGCTGTCCAGGCTACTGGAAGGAAAATACGTCATTAGCACTCCAAATAATTCTCCTGTAACCAGTTTCCCATCAAAACTCTGTTATGAATGATGGCTAGATTCTGCATATATCATTAGCACTAAGCTTCAGGTATATCACAGGTGAGCAGGACAAGAAACTCAGTGTTTTAATGGGAAGATGCATCCTGAATGTCTGACTCACAGACTATAGGACTTTGAAGTCAGGAATGCCCTCTGTATGGGGAAAGGGAGTTAGGAAAAAGGAAGGAAAAAGAATTTCTTGAAGTATTTAACTGAATTACATTGTCATTATGATCTCTTTTCCCAAGTTAATTCTACTTAGTATTAAAGTACAATTAGGAAGCAGAAAATAGCCAAAATGACTACGAAGCTGCTACTAGCTTACGAAAACAACAAAAAGAATAAAATCAAGTGAGATGTAAAGGACAATTAAGCAAAATGCACAGTGTACAATTACAAGCAGTACTGTTAGCCATGCGCATGGCTAGGAAGCAGCTAGGAAGAATATAGAAAAAGTCTGAGACAGCAGATCCAGCAGAAGAGATGTGCCACAAGATAAACCAGACTCATTTCTTGGATGATGTGTTAAAGAATTAAATTCTGAAACTGTAGGGAAAGAAAATAAAATGAGAAAAATACTAGAAGAAAAGACTAAAATGGAAATCGCTCACAACAGGATGGAAGAATCAGAAAACAGAGCAAATATTAGGAACCAGAAAATAAATGACAAAAAGGGAAAATAGTTTCCTAAATCAAGCAGTTAAACTTAATTATTCAGAGAACATAAATTCATAAAGGATAGAATTCTCTCAAAGCAAAACAGAAAAAATCATAACTATCCTCAGAACAGGTACACATACACACACACCTATGAAAACCATACAGCACTTGAAAAGAACCAAAGAGCCTTTCAGCCGGCTACATAAGCTTTTCACATGGAGAGATCCCGTGTGTGTCTGTGTTGGGGGCGGGGGGAAGGGAGGAATTGCTGGACACGGAGTTGAGCATGAGCAGGAAGGCCACAGGTGGCATAAGCAGTTTTCTTCTACTCTGTTCCAACTGAGCCCTTCATCCTCAAGGATGAAAACTAACCAATGTAAGGTTGTATTTCTTTTCTTTTTTTTTAAAGTTGTATACAGGTTTATCAAGAGGGTATGCGTTAGGAAGAGAAGTCTTAACTGAAATTTTTATGAAGATGTCAAGAAACAGAACATCCCAAGAAACCAACACCCCAGAGGCTTCCTGTGTGCCCTTCCCAAGGTAACCACTCAACCGGACTTCCATTACAGACAAGTTTTACCTGTTTTTTGAGCTTCATTTACAGGAAATAATACAGAGCAATGGTTCTCAAACTTTTTGACTCAGGACCCCTTTACACTCTTAAAAGTTATTGAGGATGTCAGAGTGTTTGTTGATGCAGACTATATCTATCGATATTTACCATACTATAAAGTAAAACAAAATTTTAAAACACAAGAATGTACTGTAGTGTGCCAGTTACCAATTTATTGCCTCTCAGTTCCAAATCTATCCTTCATTACCTGCTCTGTGATAATGGAACTGGACCCCATAAGCATTTCTCCTTTGCAGGTGGCATAATGTTTAAACTGTCAGTAAAGGGTGATGGAGGGCACTGCAGGAGGAAGAAATTTATCTTCCTGGTTCAGATGTGCTTCCATTTGTTTCCTTCTTGCTCCTATTGCATGGCTTCCAGTGGAGTGTGGCGGGTGGCACTTAAAGGCATTCATCCTCATTGAGTTTCAGTAGCAGCCTCACAGGCTGATTTTCAGTGAGCTCTGCAGGAACCCTGCAGGCTTCCTACTTTGGCTGTCTGCCAAACCACAACTCTGAGATGGTCTAATTTGCCAGTTTTGGTCATGATTTCCTGCTTGTCAGCCTTGGTTACAATGGCTGGCCTTACTAGTCTCCACCAGGGAGGGTACTGTGCAGCAGGTGTAGTAGTCAGGAGCAACATGCAGACCTCTCCACCATCCAGCTGCAATCAGACCTTCTCCAGTGAGGTCTAAATCCCAGCCTTAAGAGGAAACTTCCTTCTGGTTTTACCTTTCTTGGTATGCTCTTTCAACCCCAGATGTCCTTCAGAACTGTCTTTTACCCTTTATAGTTAATTTCATTATAGTTAATAATTATTTATAATAAACTTTCCCTGTTCAAATTATTGTGATTTCTATCTTCTGACTGGACCCTGATCCATGTAGCCTCTCAAACTCCACTGTACACTACAGAATGAGAACAAAAAAAGAACAAATAATGTTCTTACTTAGTATTATTATGAAAATGGTTTTGATCTTGCAGACTCCCTGAAAGGGGCTCAGGGACCTCCAAGAAGTCCCAGGATCACATTTTGAGAAACTATGATATACAAAATTTATCTTTTTGTGTTTAAATTCTTTCATTCAGCATTATGTTTGTGGAACATTCATGTTATGCGCAATAGTCTGTTCATTTTTATTGCTGTATAGTATTTCATTATATGAGTATATCATAATTTATTTTTCCATTCTACTATTAATGGACATTAGAGTACCTTCCAGTTTGGGCTACTATGAAAAGTGATAATCATTCATGTACATGTCTTTTGGTTACTGTATGTACACACTTATGCCTTATTGGACAATAGAATGCGTACAAGTTCAGCTTTAGTAAATGCCATGAAATAGTTTTCCAAAGAGGCTGTAACAATTTACACTCAAACCAGCAGTGTATGAAGAGTTCCAGTTGCTCCACACACTCACCAAAACTTAGTATTGTGTCATTTTTTTTAAAACTGACTTTGGGTATATATGTACAGTTCTAAGAGTTTTAACCTATGCAGAGAATCATGTAACTACCACCACAGTCAGGAAACAGAACAGTTCCATCATCCCAAAGAACTCTCTTGTGCTAACCTTTTACAGCCAGACACCTAACCCCTGGCAACCCCTGATCTCCATCACTACAGTTTTGTTTTTTCACAAACGTCATATAAATGGGATCATACAGTCTGTAACCTTTGAGACTGGTTTCTTTCTTCGTTTCATTCAGCATAATATCTCTGAGATTCATTCAAGTGGTTGCGTGCATCAAAAAACCTGAGAAAAGGATGGGAATCAACCCACAAATGAAAAAAAAACAATAGCAGCAGCAACGGAAACCTCTTTCTCTAAAAGAGCCTGCAAAGCACTATCCCAAATCACAGGAAGAAATTAAATACTATAAATGACAGGAAACAAAATCAACTGGAACATAAAATTAATTCCGGTAAATTTAATTCTATGGAACCACCTAACAAAGACATTAAATAAGTATTTTAGGATGCCTAATGAGATAAATTAATAACTTCAATTTTGAAGAAGTAAGAAATTTAAACAAAAACAGCCAGAAACAAGGACAAGGGGCACTGAACTTATGTAAGTCTTTCCAGATCATGCTGTGTATTTGTGGTCAGAGTTAAGCTTATCCAGGTGCAATCAAGTCATCTCTAATTCCCATGTGTGTCAGAGTAGAACTGCGCTCCATAGAGTTTTCAATGGCTGGTTTTTTGGAAGGAGATTGCCAGGCCTTTCTTCCAAGCTGCCTCTGGGTGGACTGCAATCTCCAACCTTTTGGCTTACGGCTGAGTGCATTAACTGTATGCACCACCCAGGGATTCCCTTGCTATGATACTCCTCTCTTAAATTTTCCCATCAACATACAAATACACTGTACTATATACTGTCTTACAGTCTCCCTGATTTCATTATCTCCATGGTTAACACCCACATTTGTCTTCTTCCCTTTACAGAAACACACTTCAAAAGCTGTCTAGGCTTGCTGTCTCTTCTGCTTCACCTCCCACTCTTTTTAAAAACTGATTTTATTATGAAATATAACACAAATACAGAGAAGAGCACAAAATACAAACTTAGAGCTCAATGAATTATCACAAAACAAACACCAATGTAACCATCACTCAGGTCAAGAAATACAACACTGCCAGCACCTCACAAGACCCGTTTGCTCCTGCTACCAGTTATTACCATCATGCTCCTGCCCAAAGGTGACCAATCACCATCCTAATACTTAGCATTATAGTTTTGTTTTGCCTGTTTTTAACCTTTCCAGAAACAGCATTATTCTGTATATATTCTTGTGGGTGAATTATTTTGCTCAATATAATGTTGGTGAGATTACTCCATACTATAGCAGTTAGTTTTTTGCTCATTTTCATAGCTGTACAGTATTCCATTGTTGCATAATGAGAAAACAGACAAATGGGACATGTAATGATGACAGACATGATGACCTACTATGTACATCATGGGTCAGATTTCACACCTTTATCCCACAAGCACACAATTTATCTGACTTCAAGAATTTCAGTACAGTAAGCCTCTAGATCTAACTGCTAATCTATAGGAAAGAGGAAACAGAGGTACATGTGCAAGAATGTCACAACAGCCTTATTTATAATATTCAAAAAGTACAAACAACCCAAATGTCCATCAGTGTGTAAATAAACTATGGTACATTCACATAACAAACCACTACACTGCAATGGAAAAGAATAAACTTATGATATATGCAACAATATGGATCTCAAAGACACAAAAGACTACATACTATAGGGGTTCATCTATAAAAAGTTGAAAATAAGATAAAATTAATCCATGTTTAGAGAGGTTAGAATAATGGTTTCCTCTGGGGCAAGGGCACTGACTGGAAAGGAGCATAAGGGAACTTTCAGGAGTGATGGAAATATTCCATACCTCGATCTGAATGATGGTTATACAGGTGTATACATATATATATGTAAAGATTCAGCAAGCTGTACACTCATGAGTTTTGTATTTCATGATGTTTTAAGTTATACCTCCATTTAGAAAAAAAAAATTTAAAGTTGAGAATGTGAATGTTTTAAGAATCATTAATTCAAAACACTCCTAGTAATCCATTCAGATAAAACAATGATTTTCCAAAACCTGAAATACAGAGTCCTAATGATCAGGAGTAACTTGAGGTATTCTTTCATCAGTAGTTAGTTAATTTTTTAAGTGGGGTAAGCAGTAACTTGGTGATGTAACACTGACTTTAAGAACAATCAGCATGAAAGGGCAATTTATTGGGAATTCAGAACACATTTTCATTCAAATTAAACACTGTTAGGATCGCACTGGGTACTTACCCTTCTAACCTAACATCTGGTAAAGATCTGTTGAGTGCAATCATCTCACTTGCCATTAAATTGAACTGATTGATTTTAAACATCTCTTTCATCTTTTCTTGATCCTCTTTAGGAATGACGACTGGTTTCCCCATTTCTCCAGGACCTTCATGAGGCTTTTGTACTGGCTCTAGAACTAAGAATAAGGAGGAAACTTAACTAACATCAATTTTACAGCAATTGATTCATGTTTCTGTTTATAACCTTTGAGTTTAAACTGCGTCTTCAACCAGAGCCATCTCTGAACCCATCCCCTTCCAGTCCGCAACACCTTTCCACACCAGAGTCCTGACTCAAGACCACCTCACCTTTCACCATTCACCTGAATGACTGCAGAACATTTTCACTCACATCTCAAATACTACTGACACATTAACCTTCCTAAAACATAGCCTTCATCAGGTTATTCCTACGGTCTCCCAGAGTCCAACGTCTTTAACATGGATTTAACCTAACTTTCCAAGCCTGCCACCTGCTTGAACCCCCCTACTACCTCCCAGTGATTCATCCTTTAGTCAAACAGCCACTCATGACTTTCCTCCAAATGTGCCCCATGCTCTCTTGCTTCGGTGGTTTGCTCACACAGCTCCTCTCCCTTGACATCTCCCTCCCCACTCCTCTCTCTCTTACCCCTAACTTGTCTTTCAAGGCAAAATTAAAACAGCTTTTCTTGCCTGCAGCTTTTCCGAATCTTTTTGTAGTGATCATTTACTGATCTTGACAACCATATCATTCCATTTAGAGCGCTTATTTCTCCAATCAACTGCAACCTCTTATTATAATAACTGTTAAACCTGTCTTATCCCCCTCCCTCCCATTAGATTACAACTGTTTTTTGGTCTGAGGTGTCTTTGCTTTATTTGTATACCTTCTGTAGCGTTAAGCATAGTGTCTTACAGGAGTTTAGTAAGTATATGCTGAATTGATAAGTAAAATGATATTTAAAATAAGCCAAAATGAAAACCCTAGACTTGATAATGGCAGACACTGTAATGATTATTATTTTGCAAGGCATGGCCTCATAAAAGATAATTCTAATCAGAATTTGTTAACACCTGAAATATCATAAAAAGAGTAGTATTCCAGATCAGCATTTCCCAATCCTTGTACTTTGTTATATGGTTTTAAAATGTTAATGAGTATTTCAAGAAAAACAGGTTCTGGGATATATTAAATTTGGAAAATGCTGTGTTAAACTTCTCATCCAAAAGGGATGGGTAGATAATGGTATAAGGCCAAGAATGGGATGAAAATATCTGTTTTGGACAATGTTAATTTTAAAAGCTAAACATTTAGTAGTTTTGTTTTTTACGCATCCTTAAAAATATCTCTGCACAAAAATGGCAATATAAAAACAGCAGGAAAATCATTTCTCAGCCGGGCTTCATCTGGCCAAGAATAACACTAGCTGATAAAGCTAACGTGTAGATTGTTCCAGATGGTGATATAAGCAACCTAAAGACACAAGAGCTGCTTTTCAACATAAATTACAAAAATTTAGGATGAGAAGAGAATATAAAATTATTTGTTGTGTCTTTAATGACTCTGTCCAGAAATATAAAAATCTATTTTAGCTAATATATAATACTTTTATATTACAGAATATATAATAATTTTCCCGTTCTCAGAATAAACTGTAATTTTAGGAGAGATATTAAAATGTTAGGATTAAATAACAAGAAATTATAGGAAACTCAAGTAATACCATTTCTATAAACAGTATCTTACCTCATGTTTGTCAAGTAAGTAAGCGCTTTAAATATGAGTTGGCAGAATTAAAAAGAAGCCCAATGAAAAGAGTAATAATAACTACAAGTACAGAAGTATAATGCCACACAGAAGCTTTCAAAACCTGAAAACTCATAAACTATAAACTCTCAGTCAGAGTCAAGTTATCTGTCTCTGAAAGTAAAGGGTAATCAAAAGGACTTGAGATTGAGACGTCCGGGGTCAACGGGGTCAACAGGAAGTTGCAGAGCTCTGCGTGGCACATCTTCTGTGGATGGCACAGATAACAAAGAGTAGGTGGGAGACATGTAGTGGCCCTGACTATAAATATCCTTCGGTTACCTGTGCCTTATTTTCGCATAAGATGATGTTTTAAGGAAAAGTTAAAACACAACTATTTTCATGCTGCTCAGTTTTTAATTATGAATATCAAGTTATACACAACACCAATTATAATGTATTTTTGTTGGGGGGTTAAAAAAAAAAAAAAAAGATCCTGAATCTGATCAAGGCTCTAGACCTACCTACTGATTCACAGGAAATACAGGGAAAAGAGAGAGATGATAAACAGCATCAAAAAGGGATGCAAGGGATGCAAATCCCGACTGTGGAAAACTGGAAAGAGAAACAACCCAATTTCTTCTTCAACAACAATCAAAAGGAGGGAGGGGGGAGGAGAAGAGAAAAGAGAGAGAAGTATCCATGCCACAAAACTGGCCATGACTTGATAGCTATTGAAGCCAGGAAATGGATATACAGAAGTTCAATTTTCTCTTCTCTCTACTTTTGTGTATGTTTGAGGTTTTCCATTAAGGTGGGAAAGGGGAACACAAAGGAGAATATTATGTGATATTATCTCTTCTACGTGACTAGTCTGTCATTTAAAGTCTTACTACAAGTGTAATATAATCTTGATTGTTATTATAACATAAGAACTATATGACCAGAAACTTGCCTCACCATTGTGAAGTAACAATTTGACCTTGTGATCTTAAAGAGTCAGGCAAAAATACACAAAATACACAATCCTGCTGCTGCAATACTGTACAAATTTGATCATCTGCTACCTATTAATAATTCCTGGATTATACACTCTAAACACATGCTATTTCAGAGTTACATTAGAAATTAACATTATTCAAAAAGTTATATGACTACTATGTGACTTACAGAATCCACCATAGTATCCTAATTTAGAAATTACTATATCCTGAAGAATTAAATGGACCAGTAAACTAATCTTCCCCGGTCAAGAGGACAGGAAGAAATGCATGTGGTTAGTGAATAAATATATTTTTACTACTACTGTACTTATACTATTAGAAAACAACTAACAAAAAAAGATTGTAAGTGTTAACTTTCCATGTATTCTTCCAACCAGTCTTTTATGTAAACTAAGAGTGAGTTCAATGAAATTTTTATTTGAAAGCAACTGAAATGGGGTTTGGATATCATCCTTCCATAAACTGAAAAAAAGTTGTTCTTTGTATAAAATCTTACATGCAGATCATTTCTAAGAAACAAATCAACTTTAATTGACAAGGGAGTGTTCTAAAGTACTGTGTAAGAACAAACATACTTTATTATACATCTCAGTTAAACTTTTACATGACAACGTAAAAGTGTCATCTTTTAAAAAACTTCATTACCAGGTTCACTCCGAAAGCCCCCAAATAACAGAACTAACATACACCAACTATGCAAGACACCTTTGAACGTACTTTAATAAATCACATTTCTAACGAGTATTTTTCTCATGGAAGTAGAATAAAGAGGTATATAGTTATATGACTCCCTTTTAGGAAAAAATACCAGTAAAAGGTTAAAATCATTTTTTCCAAATTGTTTTCTTATTATACAGTTATCGTCTTTACTGTCTTTATATACTATATTTCATCTATTCTAAAATATTTTTTCCCATATTTTCCCATATTAGGATGTGATTTACAATGACAGCTGGAATGTTTTTTCTGTCTTAGTGGTATATGAAATAAGTACTCTATAAACAAAGGTGTGTGAGATGCAATGAAATGCAATATATTGCCTGATTTTTTTTAACATCAAAATAATTATATATAACTTAATTACTGGTAACACTTAGCTACTTTAACATCCTTGTTAGCTTCAACCCTCATTCTAATCTCATGATCATTGTATTTGTAATGGGCGCAGTATGTAAAACTCTACCACTTTAAAAAATTGCAATGAAGAGATTCGAAAAGCCTTTACTAGTAGTATCTTCAAATGCTTAATCATAAGAAATTTCTTCTATATACTATGTTCTCCAATTTTCCTAATGTTTGGCAGTTGAAATAATTCAGCATAAGCACATGAAAACTTGAATCCCCAACATGTCAGTGATTAGAAAATCAAGTACAGTGCCAGCATGAATGACCAATTTCTACTTAAAATTACATCTGCAAAAATACTGAATATTCTATACAACATACAAATCCATAAATTGAATAAATGAGCTCATTCTGGAAAGCAAAAGTATAGTAAGAATATTTCCAGGCCATAACTCACACTCACTGTTTTCTTAAGGGGAGCCCAACATAATTCTCTAGCAACATAAGAATTTTGCTATTCTCAGATAGCCTGGGGTATAAAATTCAAGTACAAAACTATGACAGAACTGCTTAGGAAAACGAAACAAAATAAACCCTTCTGTCATCAGCAAAGACTGGCCCCTGTAACTCACAGTAGACAAGTAATAATTAATGTACGAATCCTAGAAAACTGTCAAGTGTATCAACAACAATCTTATAAGAGGCCTTCAGCATGATCATAAGGATAATGGATCCACTTAAACCTAGAACACGTGTATTCATAACAAAAGGAAAGAATTTGGTAAATTTATCAAATCAGCACTCTAAAGCAATTCAAAGAATATCCACAAATAAGATCCTTACAATACTCAAACAATTACTCAGTTTTCTTTTTTGCCTTTTTGTTGTTTGTTTTCAAATGCCATACAATGAGAAGATCCTGGAGGCCCTATGCTTCTTATCAAGAGGTAAGAACTTTACCTGCCTTCTTCTAGGTCACTGAAACCCAAAAAACAAACAACAACAAAAAACCAAACCAGTTGTCACTGATTCCAACTCATAGTGACCCTATAGGACAGAGTAGAACTGCCCCATAGGGTTTCCAAGGAGTGGCTGGTGGATTCAACCGCTGACCTTTTGGTGAGCAGCTATAACTCTTAACCACTGCGCCACCAGGGCTCCTGAATGTACTCGCTAATTCCATTACCCCACCTTGCACCCCCTTTAGTAAAAGATCACTTCAGAGGCACCACAGCAATTTGTCACCAGCCCTCTGTTTGGAACCTTAATAACTTAGGGCTCTGACACGTCTTGGGACCTCTCAGCTCCCACTGCATTTAAACTTCATATCACAGTAGATTTTTCAAATTGTTCTTGCTTAGCATCAGCTGTCTCCCACACCAAATCATTTCTTCTCCTCTTTCCCTGCAATCCTTTAAGGCTACATGGAACACAGTTTGAAAATCACTGCTCTAATGTCCCACCTGAAACTGTGGACCTCTCACATCTGCCTTCCCTTAGCTATTTACTGATCTTCTGGCTTACTGCTCAGTCCATTTCTCATTTCTCCACTGCTGACTTCTTCTCAGCCTGACACTCCACGTCATTTTAAAGCCTCCACAGCACAGTTCCTATCTCCCAGATTTAAATCCAAGCCGGCTCTTTCCCACAGCCCAGTAACCTCACAACCCATTCTGAGGAACCGTTGATTCTCCTTTTGCTAGGAGGCAGCAATGCTATCTCATAGCTCTCCTTGTCACTTCCAGACCATTTCTCCTTGTCTTTGTACTTCGTGAACTTTGTACAAAAGCTACTCCTTTTCTTTGAAGCTCACATCACTAGTGGTTTTAAAACTATTAACCCCAGAATACTCTTCAAAGACAACCTTCTTCTTATGCTTTTGATACTGTACTAGCTCATCTACTGAGAATTTGTTCTTTGAAACATTCTTTCCTTTCCCTTATGTCTTAAACCTCTCTCTCTCAACATACATAAATAAAACATACAAATATAGAAAACCTACTTTGGCTCCATTTTCTCCTTTAACCATCTTACTACTCCCTTCCCTTCACATGCAGAAGCTTCCTGAAGAACAGGCACACATCTCTACTGCTTCAATGGTCCATCAAATCCGCTGGTCTCCACAGGTTACTAGATTCTTCCCGTTGTCAAACATGTCAGAAACATCTTCTTCTTCCATCTTAGGTGATCTCTCCAAACAAACATCACTCCTGGATTTCCATGACCCTGCTCTCTCAGCTACTCCTTCTACCTCTGACTTCCTGAGAAGCCTTCTCTTCCATCACTGACCCTCCAAGATGGGCTCCCCAATGCTGGATCTTATTTTTTCTTCCTCATTCAAAAATTTATTTACATATATATATATATATATTTTAGTGTACGTTACATGAAGGTTTACAGAACAAACTAGTTTCTCATTAAACAGCACACATACTGTTTTACGACACTGGTTAACAACCCCATGTCATGTCTGGATCTTATCTCATTTAACTCCACATGTCTGTTGCAGCCTCATGTACAGACAAGGCTTAACCTACCACCAGTAGATATTCTAACACCTGATACCAGAACATATTCTAAAGATTCCAAATCCAAATCATTCACCTTCTCATCAAAGCTGCTCCTTTTCTGGGAGCCTCTACGTCCAATCAATTCATCCAACCAGGGAGGCCTGAGAGTCATCTTAGACTCTTTTCTCTCTCATTATCTATATCCAACGGCTCCCCAGGTTATGTAAATTCCACTTGTTAAATGCTTCTCATGTATTTCATTTCCACTTCACCTCCAGTGTCATTTTAGTGCAAGCCCTGAAAACTTTTTGAAACTTTCACAACACTCTCACAACTGGGCTCTGTTACCTGTCTGATTCCTTTCCAGTTCCATCAGCCACATGACCACCAAAGCGTTCTTCTAAAAGTACAGATCTGATAAGGTTACTTACTTCTTACTCCCTAGGTTAAAGTCCTTAAGTGGCATGCCACCACCTACAGGATGAAGTCCAAAATCCTTAGTACACCTTTATGAAAGGTGCTCTGTGATGTGGCCTCTGCTGACCTCCCAAGCCTCATCCTGTGCTCTTTCCTCACATCCTCCTAGCCATCAACTCTGCTCTCACTTGCTTATCTTTGCATGGGCTTTTTTTCCTCTGCTTGGAAGGCCTTCCCTTCCTCCATCAAACAGAACCAACTCTTCCTCACCCTGACAGTCAGCTTGAGCATCACTTCCTTGCTGCTCTTTCTCAAACTCTCCGAAGCTTTCCCTCCTTTTTGCTCTTATACATGTCTCATATTAATTACACCAGTATTTTACTATTATTCTTTCTCTCCCATAAGACTGTGAGTTTCCTGAAGGCTGGAATTTTGTCTTATTTTTGTTGTTGTTGTTGTTCAACTGCATATCCCTAACATCTAGTACACTGGTCAGCACAAAATAATTCACCAAGGGTATCTTCACATGCTACAGGTCTTATTATTTCCCATTTTCATGCCTTTGCATTTAAAACAGAACACCATGGATTTCCACTCTAAGTAGAAATGAACTAAGGTAGGGTGCGGGGAAAACAATCTGTTCTGTTTGAGAAAAGAATACCTTAGTTTTCTGACTGGTGAATGGTAATACTTGCCCTTTGATTTAAATGTACACAGGGAGTTATACCTTTAGCAATAATTCAGGAGGAGAGTTTTGTCAGCAAGTAAAGTCACTAAACACCAAGCCATAAAGCAAACCAGGAAAGATAATCTAAATTAATAAAATGACTTTGAGTAAAAATGTATTTTATTCAAACCTAACAGGAAAGTAAAAATTTAAGTTAGGGATTAGCCTAGGTATTACTTAAGTCCTATACTAGTAACTGAACCTAACTTTAGGCAGATTTCCCTAGATAAAAGAAACAATCTCTTCAGAACTGGTTATACAAGCTTATCTATAAAAATCACAGTAAGTAGGCACAGTTGCAAAAACAAATAATTTTTAGATAATGAATTTTGGAAGACTGGGTACCCTTCTCATTATAAAAGTGTAAAAAGCTTAAATGTGGCTACATACTCAAAAATTATATTGAAAATATTGGAGTAATTATTTGTGCATAATTCCTAAAACTAGTAGAATTACTGTATGCCATGAATTTTAGAACTAATCAGAAAGAGATCAAAGCCCAGAACAGTGGAATTACTGACTCTCACATACAGTATTTTCATTATGGTTAAAAACACAACGAGAAAAGCAGCATTTATTTGTTTGAATGCAAGGAGCTTAAAACTCAATTTTCCAGGTGTCTCCTGCCAAAATTACCAGTACTACCTACCTAGGCCCTTTATATCTGTATGTTTCCTTTCTTTTCCATCCCAGATATTGCAGTGATTTTACTGCAGCCCCTATTCTTTCACCCAATATTTTCAAAAGCCCTCCTTAAAAGTGCTAAGGGGACCTATCTCCAATTCTTCAACTCTCGAGATCAAATCTATCCACAATGACTTCTTTTCTTTAGGACTGAGATGGGAAGGCAGAGTAAATCTCTGTTGGTAACTGATAATATGATTTTAACATTCCACTCAGCATTATGGCATTAGACTGCTCTTCTGTACAATTTTGATAGTTCCAATAATGAGATTTCCTTACCTCATTCTATCACATAAAATAATTTCTAGAAAATTAACTACATTTAACACTGAATGCAAAAACTGAATTTAGTAATTCTGTGCATGGTATTTTAACACTTTTAACTGTTAGAAGAAGCCACTGGAGAATTGTTGGAAATACGATCATCATATACAGGAATCCAAGATTGTTAATCTGGAAGTTAACATTTTACACAATACAAATTAGTTAATAAACACCCGTGATCTATTTATCAAAACGGTTAGATTATTACAAAATTTCACTCACCATCCCCAGCAGGAAGTCCTCTCTCCTTTTTTTCATCACATTTGTTGCATTCACTGAAGTAAAGCAGCAGGAACATGTCCAAGAGTACCCAAATCAAGGAGGTGGCTAGGACCACCTTGCAATATGCAAATTTTCTCATGGCACTTTAAGTCAAATGCAAAATTTTAAAATATATATATATGTATAAATATACAAATATCATGAAAATTATTCCAATCCAGTTTCATCAGAAATCACGTTCATAGCCTATAGAAAAAAAAAAATTTACTTAAAAATTCCGAATGTACATTAATTGTAAGATTAATTTAATATGCATATGAAATTGCACTCTGAAGAGTAAGTTTGTAAATTAGACTTAGAAAAATCCTTGTAAAATATGTAAAAAGTATTAGTATCAAGAATGTACAAATAATTCCTACAAACCAATGTACACTAACTCAACAGAAAAATTGGTAAGGGATATAAACAGGCCTTCACAAAAAGGAATCCTGACTAGCCAACAAACACTGAAAAAATGCTCAGTTCACTATAATTAGAAAAAATGCAAATTAAAACAATAGTGAGATACTATTTCACACCCCTCAGATTAGCAAAATTTTAAAGCTTGATCATATCTAACCCTAAACCTAACCCATTGCCATCAAGTTGATTCCGAATCATAGCGCCCCTATAGAACAGAGTAGAACTGCCCCACCAGGTTTCCAATGCTGTAATCTTTACAGAAGCAGACTGCCACATCTTTCTCCCACGGAGCAGCCAGTGGGTTTTTAAACTGAAAACAAAAACAAAACCTTAAAGCATTTCCATTTAGGTTCTAAAAGATTACATAAATGGATGTCAATTAACCTTTAAAACCAAAATATCACTTTGTTTGCTAAGCTTTATATCTTTCTGGTAGGCCCCAGAGGAGAACTATTTGGTTATTTTCTGTGATTGGAATTAACAACCTTGACAGACAGACACATACTCACACCCACACCCACACCCACACAATAGCAAGTAAGCAATACATATTTTCCCGGTGCATAGCAACACTCCAATGTATTTTTAATTCTCATTTCTGTAGAAGCCAAGGTACTTTTTAAAGCTCAGGAGGCTTAAAAATTCCCAGAGGTCAGAAAGACAAAACAAGGAAAGAGCTTTATCATCAAGTACAAGCTAAGTCTGAGCTGACTTAACAGAAACATATGCCGTTTTGTCTAATACATTTTATATATGAAGGCAATTTAAGTGTTTGAGTCTTTAAGTTGTTATCATGCTATGACAAGCTACCTGTGTAGAGTGACTAAGGCTCCTTTCATGTCAGCTGGATAATTCTTAAGAATAAGTGTGTCAAGTATCAAAATGGAAAGCTGAATACCAAACAATCACCATATTTCATCACATGTGCTTTGTCAATGAATTAAAATGCAAATACAAGTTTCCAATATAAGTAAGCAAACAGTAGTTTTCTGTTTCCTAAAGTGTCCTGTACGATTAAAAAAAAAAATCCATTTTCTTTCCCTTTTATCAGAAAGAGAAGATTAAACTATTCTAAGAAAATAGTAAGCGGCTTAAAGTGCTCTATACTTAAAGGTCACAAAATATCACATTTTAATACATGTTATTATTCATTTGACATTATCTCAAAGTCAGCTTTAAATTACTATGTGCATCCTGAACCATTTCATTTTAATAGTTATTTGGGGAAATGTCAATAAATGTAACAGTAATTTTTAAAAATTCTCCAGTGTTTTAGACCTAAGAGCAAAATGCAGGGGGCTTCTGTAAAAACAGTGGAGGCAATAGCTTGCTTTTTGCTTTGCCCACATCTCCCCATAAAAACAGACAGAGCAACTAAGATAACAAAACCAAAAACCCATGGACAACCTCTAAAACACACAAACACACCCCACAAAACCATATCCATTGCTGTCAAGTCAATTCCAACTCATAGTAACCCCAAAAGCAGGTGATAAAGTATGCCCATAAACTACAAAATCCAAGTGGGTACAAAGAATTACCAACTACAAGACCTGCTTGGTAGGAGCATCTATGAAGAAAAAAGGGGAGGGATGTGACAAAGCACCTGACTGACCTGAGGACCCCCCACGTAACTAACCAACAGACACTCCCTCAAAACCTTTGCAGACCAAAAGAAGAACACCCTAGAAACTAGGAGGGCTTGCGCTCTGGTGAGAACAAGGGGCTGAGGTGATCTGGCTCTAAAACAACAAAAAAACTCAATCCGTTGCCGTTGAGTCGATAGAGTTTCCAAGGAGCAACTGGTGGGTTAGAACTGCTGACCTCTTGGTGAGCAGCAACTGTTAACCACTGCACCACCAGGGCTCCTTACGAACTTTCTAATTAGCCAGGGCTCCCTTCCAGAGCAAAGATCAACAATGAGGAGATATTACTAGGGATAAAATTCAAACACAGCAGATTATGAACTGAAATAAAGGAAAACTAACATCCAGATAAAAGTTGGAAAGGAGACAAGAACTAGGAGATTTCAGAAAATAAGTTGCCATATTTTAAACATTTCACGAAAGCAACAGAAGAGGAAACTTGGAGGCAGGATGTTAGAAAAACTATTCCGAACTATGCTTCCCTTCAAAAAGTTCAGGAAAACTATAATCACATAAATAAGTAAACATAAAGAACTGAAGTAAAACTCCAAAGTTACTGTAGAAATATATAGACTATAAGGAGCAGAATAACATTCCTGCAGACAATGAAAGTATCCCAGAAAGATATGCCCCCCAAACAGATAAAAACTATAACCTAAAATTTCAAAATGGGTTTAATGACCTTAAGGAAATGATTCGAGATAGGAAAGAACAACAAACATCAGAATTAGAAAAATATAAATGAGGTGACAAAACCCAGGAAAAAAGGAGAAATAAAAAAGAAAAAGTCATTTCAGAAATGAAGACTACATTAAAAGGAATAAACAAAGCAGTTAATGTCTTAAGGGAAATAGATGAGGAAAAGAAACAAAATTTTTATAATCAACAAGAAATTAAGAAATAATTGAAAAGAATTTGAGAGTGTGAAAAACACAAAGCAAAGACAAGCCAACACACCTACACACATATAACAGATATCCCCAAAGAAGAAAGTCAAACCAAGGAAACAGAAGACTAAAACCCACAATCCAGGAAAATTTCAGGGGGGGTAGGGATTAGAAAATATATAATAAAAGGGGACAACATGCACCTGAAAATACTGACCCAGAATAAACAATATCAAAATATATTCCTGTAAAATTGTTCAATTTTATAGGAAAAAAAAAAACTTTGCACCTACTGGCAAAAACAGCAGCTCACTTAAAAGGGAAATACAACCATACTGTCATCAGACTGAGTCAGCAATGCTTTATACCACAAAAAACAAAACAAAACTAACATTTTTTATTTAAACATTTCAAGAAAAGAAAATGGGACTCAAGAATTTTATATTCAGCCTAAATAACCTTTAAGTATAAAGGAGGCAACTGAATTGTCATAAAAATGCAAGAACCCGGAGAACACTGTTCCCATAATAAATAAACTTCAGACAATCGAAATGACTGAAGAAAGATTTAAAGGTAAATTATATGTATATTTACTTGTGTAAACTATGGCCAAGTGAGAGGTTATGGGAAAGTATGCACGCAATATGCTGTATGATACATGCTCTGACAATGCAGATACAGTACAGCTGCGAAATAAACAAGGAGAGAATGGGGAAAACACATGCAAAAGAAATTAACCATTTTCAATTAACATATTGTTGATGGCAGTGTGGAGATGTTATTCTGAGAATGTTAAGAGCATAATGTGAAATAAAGAAATTCAGTTTATTCTGATCGTTATATTCTAATTATATTATCCCTGGTTATCTTGAGAGCTGAGAATCTCAGTAGAGAAAAAAGAGATAGATACAGATTTTAAAGATGAGAAGATAATTTGAATCCCAACTCATATATTTATGAAATGCCATATCCCACTAAAAGAAATCAGGACTTCTTAGAGAATTTTTAGATTCCAGGTCTGTCACAAGGAAATTATCAGTCCAAGAGACAGACAGGGCCACATAAACCAGAGACTGCATCATCTTGAGACCAGAAGAACTAGATGGTGCCCAGCTACCAACACCACCAATGACTGCCCTGACAGGGAACACAACAGACAGCCCCTGGAGGAACAGGAGAAAGGTGGGATGCAGAACTCAAATTCTAGTAAAAAGTCCACACTTAATGATCTGACTGAGACTGGACAACCCCAGAAAGCATGGCCCCCGGACGCTCTGTCAACCCAAAACTAAAAGAATTCCTGAGGCCAACTTCTCAGACAAAGAATGGACTGCACTGTGGGACATAAAATGATACTTGTGAAGAGTGTGCTTCTTAGCTCAAGTAGATACATAAGACTAAATGGGCAGCTTCTGTCTGGAGGTGAGATGAGAAGGGAGAGAGGGTTAGGAGCTGGCTGAATGGACACGGGAAATCAGGGGTGGAAAGCAGGAATGTGCTGTCACAGTATACGGACAGCAACTAGGGTCACATAACAATGTATGTAAAAATTTTTGTATGAGAAACTAATTTGAAATGTAAACTTTCACTTAAACTACAACAATAAACAAAAAACACATGCAAAAAATTGTATTAAAATAACAATTACCTTGATTTAAAAAAAAAAAGATTCCAGGTCTGAGGCAGAAAATGAGATGAGAAGATGAGTTTGGCTGTCAACCCAACATCAAAGCTATCAAAGATTACTAGGGTTGGGCCAAAAAATCTCAGGAGTCAACCTGAAGAAGCCCCACAGACCAAAGATGGAACAATTCTCAATCAACAGAAGTAACAGCTTAAGAGAAATTTAAGAGTGTGAAAAGTATATTTAAATATGTTTAAACTGATGAGTTCATAATGCTAGTACAAAATAAAAAAGAAGTCAAGTGTTTCTTTAAGGAAGCATTCCAGCTAATAAGTGAAGGAGAAATGACAGAATTAGAACATCATTTTACCACCTCTGCTGATTTTAAGCAATGACCATCAAAGGCTGCTAACATCAAAAGAGAACAGACATTAGGACCTTCTGGGGGAAGTACACAATATCATAACCCATATTGAGGTAGGTGGGGGAAAATACCTGAATCTGATCAAACCTCTACTCTATCTACCAATTTACAGGAAATAAAAAGGACACCAGAACAGGCTAAGCTACACCAGGGCAACACAATCAGCAAAATCCAGACTATCGAAAACGCTTCCACCTGGGCTC